ATGAAAACTCTAGTCAAATGTCTGTGTCTTAAAACCTTCCAGAGAACTAGTAATTTCGAATTGTTTATGTGTCATTCTTCGCTTTTCAAGCCTTTAAGTAAAAACTGATATGTAAGGTACCGCATAATCGGTCGACGATATTAAAGTGATGGAAACATGGCTGGCAACATGAATTTGTCAGTGACCCAGATGGTATTCCTTTCATTCAGGGTTGAAAATACTTAATTGTATGTTCGTAATTGTCTATATTTTTATTTGTTGGATCTCTTTTATCTTTTAATTACGATCTTTTACGTATGCTTTGTGTTGTGCTTATGTATATATTAGAAGTTACGTTTCACTATTTTGCGATCTCGCTTTTCAGCAGAACGACAGTGAGTAGTCTGCGTGGCCGGCGCTAGGAAGTACAGTTGACTCCCGATAACTCGAACCCTCGCTAACTTGAACCAAAATCGATTTCCCCTGGATTTCCGTCATACATTCACTGTAATTTTACCCTCAGTAACTCGAACCCTCGATAACTCGAACTTCCGCTAACTCGAACTTTCCATATTATACTACTACATGAGAAATTTCTGCAATTTGGTTGGCTTAGAGCAGTGGTATTTCAGCTTAATTTGAAACACCTACATGTGAAAACTACAAACCTTTTGTGAGTAGTAGTATAAACAAATGATAGCATGATTTGTACGTGATATTTGGCATGAATACCACTCGTGATATTTCAAAATTGTCTCACATTTCATTCGCCTAACGGCTCGTGAAATTACGTACAACAATTTTGAAATATCACTCGTGGTATTTATGCCAAATACCACTACAAATCATGCTATTACCTATACTAATTTTACCCTCGATAACTCGAACCATGTTTTGAGCCCTTTCCCTTACGTCGGGAAAAAAGCCGTCTATATACCGCGGACGTACGAAACATTGAATTTTGGATTTCCCATTGACGTGTTGTAGGAGTATAGTTTACTAGTGGTGGCTGATGTTGATTGTCACAGGCTAAGGTGAAGCAGCTTTTTTTCTCAAAACAGTAAAACGCATGCTCTGTTTAGGCTATGTTTTGTTACGTTACGTTCTGATTTATCGTAGTTACTAAAACATGGAACGACCTAAAACCACCTAAAACCACCTAAAACCATCTACAACCACCTACAACCACCTCAAAAAATTCAACAACCACCTACAACCATCTACAACCACCTCAAAAACATCTACAACCACTCGCAAACAATCTAAAACCATCTAAAACAAGGTATAAATGCCTGAAATAAGGCGAGACGACAACATGTCGCGTACATGAAATACGAGAATCAAACAAAACATCCACTCCCCCCCAAAATTTTACTCTCCGTGGTCCCTTGCATACACGCGAGGGGTGAGGGAGCCTTGTGTCTCCTTCTCGTGCGTTTTTTCTTGTTTCCACTACTTCTAAGCGCCTGAAGTTAGCTTTCAAGTGGGGTGGGCATATAAAAGTTTTGTGTTTCCATCGAAATATCGCGCACAAAAAAAGCTTATGTAATCTAGTTTTGAGCTTCATCACTTCTCTGTAAGGATGAATTTGCTGCCATGTTTTTATAACTGCCCACAAATAAATTTGAGTATGAAGCTACTGTACTCACCGCAAAGATCAAAATAATTCGTTTAACAGAGGAAATTTCAAGTTACAGTGAAACCTGTGTTAAGCGGACACCCTCTATTAAGCGGACAGTAGCCGAAGTCCCCAAAATTATTTCCCTTATTTACTTGAAATGAAACCTTATTAAGCGGACAGCTCTATTAAGCGGACGCAGACACCTAAAAAGTACCTGAAATGGTCATTTCTATTGTTGCCAACCTGTATTAAACGGACACTTGTTATTAAATCCACCATCCAACATGCCAGACACCGGAAATGCGAAAGATTGCCACCCACAAATTTTAATATTTTTATTAAAAAACGTGACTTGACGAACTTATTTGATTAGTTTCACAGTACAGTGTTGTTTTCTATTTCGTTTTGTTTCTATAGAGCTTGTTTCATTCATCTGAGTTCTTCAAATTTGAGTTGCAATCTATGTTTATGGTACTATCATCTTTAATAAAGAAATTAATGCAAACAAATTTAGTCATAGTCTCTATGACTATCCTAAAAGTTTCCACTGGTCATTTGAATGACATTTGACTCCTCATATGACGTTATCTATCGAAACCTGTATTAGGCGGACACGCTGTATTAAGCGCACACTACAGCATTCCCCGAGGGTGACAGCTTAATACAGGTTTCGCTGTATAGCAGAGCAAACTGGCCGATAAAGCACATAGTTTGCTGAGCATAATAAGAGGAACCATAAGGCTCAAACTTCCTGTATAAATGGCAAATGAACTCGAAGATATCTCGAACTAATTCCGGAGCAACATTCGGAAGCAACTTCGGGACCTCCGGATGCAACTTTGAAACATTCCTAAACTGCGCGAATCCTTTACTTCGCACTGCGCCGAAGTAATGAATAAATGTAAGGTCATCTCTCATTGCTCTCTTACGTGCAGTAAGGTTGTCATTAGACCCCTTCGACCGTAGCCCCTTCGGACACCTCGTGTAATTTAGGGGCAGGAACGCGTGACGAACCCCTAAGAACGTCTGCGTGGGAGGCTAGGTTAAGCACTGCCTTTTACAGAGAAGGGTCTAGTCTGCTACACAGCCGTTTTTAGTGTCGTCACACAAAACGGCTGTGTAGCAGACTAAGTAGGGTCAAACACTTCCTTTACTGATTAGGGTCAAACACTTCCTTTACTGATTAGGGTCAAACACTTCCTTTACTGATTAGGGTCAAACACTTCCTTTACTGATTAGGGTTAAACACTTCCTTTACTGATTAGGGTCAAACACTTCCTTTACTGATTAGGGTCAAACACTTCCTTTACTGATTAGGGTTAAACACTTCCTTTACTGATTAGGATTAAGCACTGTTTCGAAGCTGGTTAGGTTCCTTTTTGGGGTTGGGGTTGGGGTTGATGCTATATGTAGTTACATTATTTCCGCTCCATCCACGAAGTCCCCAGTGGTCTAGTAGTTAGTGTGGTATACTAAGTCTTCTGTGTTGTGGGTTCAAATCCTACTGCTCTTTATATCAATTTGTTTTCTTTTAAATTGAAGAGACTTGCACTTTCATGAACATTTCCATCTTGAAATGTGTGATATAAAAAAACGGTTCTACCTTGTGTAAATTTCATAAAGGGAGAAAGGGGCTTCGACTGATGGGATCTATAAATGCTGACCGTGCAGTAACGCGTAAGCTTCGGAGCCGTAGGGACTGGGTTCGATACCTGCTATCTCCCACTTTTTTACTTTGTTTTATAAAGCATTATCTCAAGGAGGAATTTGATACTGATTTGAAGTTTAAATAAGATAATATGCTCCGTTATTTTAAAAACGTAAGGTGTTTGCGTTCGTGAGGAATGGTCTTTAAAAAATCACATTACAGGAAAAGTGTTCTGTATTGACTTTATATGATAATTCTCGAATTGGTTTAGCCAAATTAATTTCTTTGCTATTTTTATCCATTCGTAATAGCTTTATGTGTTTATTGAGTTTTAATAGTAATGAGTATTCTTTAATTGTTGGTATTTTTAACATTAAAAATCAAATCAATCAAATCAAAATGTGGGAAAATGCAAACATGAATCTGTCACAAATCTGACACATACCGTAAAATTCCGAAAATAAGCCCCTCCAAACATAAGTCCCCCAAAATCGTAACGTAAAAAACCCTCCGTTAAATCGCCCCTCCAAATGTAAGCCCCCCGGGGGCTTGTACTTGAAAAAATTGCCCTCAAATACAAAGTAAAACAAAGAAAAACAGGTAAATTTACTTCCAACTATAAGGCTAGCCAAATCGATTTCGAAACGCAAATTTCCCTCCGTAGATGCCCCTCCAAAAATAAGCCCGTCAAAAAGGGCCTCTGAAAAATATAAGCCCCGGTGCTTATTTTCGGAATTTTACGGTATGTCAAAAATTGGACCAAATTTATATAATTTCCGGACAACTGGCATTGTTAAAATTTACCCTGTTTACCTTTTGTAGTTCAGAGCGTTTATTTTTTCTCAAACGTTTGTTTGCATAATCTCTCGGTGAGAGAGATACCCCACGAGCGTACTCTCCTGTTTGTCTTTTAGAGTGAGCGGATAAAAGGAGGCTTTACCTGAATCTTTTTATGCGCTTATTGTGCAAAAATCCACGCTTCTTGTCGGAGCAGTTGTTTTGTAGTCTGGTTAGCATAAAATAGTTGAAGGTTTGCTTTAAAGTGGAAAGTGCACTTAGCTTATACCCGGCTAGTTTACAAGCACTTCACTCAAATATTTAGAAACAAATAACCCAAATAGAGCATAACAGGATTTAAAACACCAATTGGCCGGAGGCAACCAGTTGACTATTTACAAGCTTTGAACTCCGGACAACGGAGAACAAATCCAGCAAGGGGCCAGAGAGGAACTCGAATCCGGCACCCCCGGATTGCGAGTCCGACGCGCGCGCTGCCCACTCGGCCACGCTGCTTCTTCATGAAATGTCGAATCTTATTCTGTTGCGTGTGGCAACCCTTGCACGCTCATATTTTTAGTAGAAGAGATTGACTTGAAGATTTAATGATCACTTTCTCTAAAAGAAAAAAAACTGGCGGTTTTCAACGTTTTTCATCAAAATTTTTAAGCCTGCGTTGATAATTTATAACGCAACGCTTATCATGGCCTACAAGCCGTCTCGTTTAGTTATTGGCAGCTATCCCACTCGTAAGTCTGCTTGGAAACTAATTTTGCTTTGTTTTTCTCATCAAATGCTATTTAAAGTAGAATGGTAGTGTATCTTTGGGTAGTTGAGGCGTTTGTTACTTTTTGGCGTGAAGCAAAGGTAGCTGGTGTCGTTTGCACACAGATTATATTTTGCCTGCCTTAATCAATCTATTTTTGTTTTCCTTTCAGTGATCATAGATGCCAATCGAGATCTCATTGAAAAGAAATGGGTATGAAACGAAAAATTCTGTTATCGACCGTCCTTTTGGCGGTTGTGATACTCTTTACAGAAGTATTTGTTTTGAACGATTACCTTCCTTCAATTAAAAAGCATCATAAGAGACCGGCTCGACTGTCTAAGACTGAGGAACTAATTCATTTTAAGCCTGACTCGCGCACTCGGACAAGAAACAAGCCGGTTTCAAGAAAGAAAAATGCCACAGTGCTGAATGGACCGAACAGGTTGAAAACCGAAAGTGTTACTCAGAACCAGAATGAGGTTAACCTCATACCGAATCGGCTTTCTGATAAAGTGAACGGGATCGACAATAGAATAATGCGGAAGAAACTTCAGGTTATACCAGGAGGTAAAAGCTCGAGCGTTACTCAGGTTAAGTTAAAGAACCAAAAGAGTAAACGAGCGAAATCAACGGCGAAACGTGTAAAGACAGGTAAGCGTGTATTAATTTACACGCCGTTGTTTACAGATAAGCCGTGGCAGGGCATCAATGATACATACGGATTCACTCATTATAGAGGGGCGCCCTGTCCAGTAACTAACTGCTCGCTTACATATAGACACCGTTTGTTTCCCCGTAGCGATGTTGTTATTTTTCACGGCCAGGACATGCCAGATACGTTCGAGTTGGAAGAACTAAACAGCCGCCGCCCTAAAGGACAAATTTGGATCTATTTTGTCCTGGAAAGTCCCTCCAATGCAAAGGATACTTACTTTTTTCGAGACATGTTTAACTGGACAATGACCTACGAGAGGAATGCAGATGTCTTCCTACCCTACGGTTCGTATGTTACCCTCAAACCAGGTGAAAAATCTTCTTACGGGCAAATTAACCCAGATAAGAAGGACCGTCTTGTGGTTTGGACAGTAAGTAATTGTGGTGGATTGCGCGACTGGTTTGTCCGAGAACTGAAGAATCACATTCGTGTTGATATTTTTGGTTCTTGCGCTGATAACGTGTATCAGCCGCATTTGCAAGACGAGGAATGTGAAAAAGACTCTCCGGAATGTGAAAATCTCCTTAAGCGCTACAAGTTTCAGTTGGCATTTGAGAATGGTAATTGCGTCGATTATGTTACTGAAAAATACTGGGGGGGACCCTTAGAACTGGGGATTGTCCCTGTGGTTTTAGGAGGCGCAAATTACTCGGAGATGGCCATTCCAGGATCATATATCAACGTTTTCGACTTCGATTCCATAAAGACGTTAGCCGACTATCTTCTTTATCTTGATAAAAACGACACTGCTTATATGGAGTATTTTGTTTGGCGGAAGCTGTACAAGGTCGACGGATACCTAACCGGGGCTACTTTTAACAAACACTATCCTTGGACGTGCGATATATGCGCGAAAGCTCAGAATCCAAAGCGTAAGAGTTACAAGAGGATAAGTGATTTCAGAGACGTTTCAACGCACTGTGGATTACACGAAGACAAATTATATGAGTTGATGAGTCCTGACGGTGACAATGACTTCAGATCCATCGAAAACCGCAATAGCGCTGCCACTGCGGATATCTCTCGGGAAGATAGTCAAGAAGATGATGAAGAAGAAAATGAAGACGATGAGGAAGACAACGCTTGGGATAAGGAGGAGAATGCAGAAGAAAATACAGTTAAGATGAAAGAAAATAAAGAAGGGAACGACGAAAGTAACACAGTTATTAAAGGAAGAAAAAAGTGAAATTGAAGGTAATGGAATTGAGAAAAATGCTAAAAGAGCTGATAAAACGAAAACAGAGAGAAAGAAAGATGCAGTTATCAAATAGTTTAATTTACTTCATTTATTTTTCAGTTTTCTGAAATACTGAATTTTTAATGATGACATCCCTTTCCCACCTTACGCGTGCTAGAAGGTCCTCTTCCACGTTTTCGTTCCCTTCGGAGAAGTTATAGGAAACGACATGGGATTATAATACGGACTAAAGGTGGTCGGCTTCATCTTGTAATGATCGCCATCACATTCGCGGTGGCTAGTGCTATACATGCATTTTAAACTGTATAATCATAACTATAACAAAATTCTCAAATCTGATTGGCTCTCAACTGCCTTGATTTCAGCCTTAATTGGACAGTTTAATAGGACAGTACGCGTCATGCCTAAGTAATTGGACAGTACGCGCCATCACGCGCGCGCTTAAATGGCTTTTTTTTTTTCATTGCTAGCGGAAAAATCTTGGAATTTCTTGTGTTTTGATTTAAAAAGAGCCCTATTTATCACACATTTTGTTAAAGTTATGATTAATTTGTAACAGAACTTCGTGTCATCCAATTCAGTCTGTAATCATACTCGTGATTAAACAAATCGGACTCCCGCTACGCAGTCGTCCGATTTTGTCAATCACTCGTATGATTACAGACCGAATTGGACTTCACTCAGTCCTGTTACCATTACTTATTGTATTTTTTATTTTTCTGTACGTCTTTGTTCGTGTTTATTATTTCTTTTACTGTTAACTTGAGAGAGCAAATAGGGGGAGCGTTTAGAAAAGTTAATTTGCTGTTTAGGAAGGGTTCATTTCATCGTATTCTAGAATACTGACACACTGCAGAGAGATTGTTTAAAATCCCCTGCGTCAAGATTTTTGAACAACTAGAATGCTTCACACATTTTTATTTCTTAGCCAGAGGTGGACATATTACGTCTCATTAAATTCCCATAAAATTCCCTTTTTTTCACGGAAAACGTAGCTTGTTGCAGACTCTAAGATAGTAGCGAAAGCGGATCGAGAAAAATTGCGCAAAAACCACTTGGGGACTGGAGAGAGACGGTGTAGTCCCCCTTCTCTCTTTCCCGCCGTTTCGCCATTTCACTGCTCTCTCGCTTTTTTTGCTCGTGTGTACTGACCGAGAGCCTGGCACAGGCTACGAAAAACAGAGTTATTTGAAAGCACCCCTGTACCAACAGAGCTTCGTACCGGAACGAACCCAAAGAAAGAATGCAATTAAAGGTTTCGAGGAGCTTGGTGACAGCAAAGCCCTCCTGAGTAAGTCCTCCTCTGCCATGCCCGCCTCTAGATGTCACGCTGGTTCCAAGGGTCATTTTTTGTCACACTGTCCTCACGTAGTGAGCGAAAAGAAGGACCTGGAAATGAACATTTTTTTTGTGCAAAGCTATTCTCGTCCCCAGAGCCTCCTGGGGGCCTAAGTATTGGGTCCAGGAGGCTCAGGGGACGAGAATGGTACAAAGCTCCCAACCTCGTTCCCAGGGTCTCTCATCGGGAAGATGAGAGACCCTGGGAACGAGGTTGAGCGCCCTCCTTTCCCACCTCCCACGGAAGAGAGATGGGGCAGGAACCTGATGAAGTCCCTGGGCGGTTGTTTTTGTTTTTATCCAAGTGAAGCCTCGTCTGAATTGTCATTCGAACGAGGTGTAGAAATTTAAAAAAAACATTTTTTTTAATAGACAATTATACAAGCTTAATATATTATAAAAAACTGAAACTTTCGAGAGAAATTAATGAAAAAAGAATTTGTTATAACTTCATATATTTCTGTAAAAAGTTGTGAATTTTTTATCCCGCATTTTTTTAAATTTGTAAGCGAAAGAAAATTGTACAAAATTTAAGAAACTAGAGGTAATGTATTATTAATTAAACGTTTTACTTCTTTCTTATTGTCTTAGTTTCTTCTTGTACCATCCTGCGTGGCAGGCGCAAGTTGTTTTTCAGTCGGTTTTGTTAGTTTTTTATAGAGCGAGGGGAACACACGAAGGGGACAGAAAATAAAAGGTGCGCGCGCTGCCTTAAAGTTTCTTCCTTGCCGTTGCAGGCTCGACCTCGGTGAAATCGGATGTGACGTCACCCGTCAATTCTCTATCGTGCTGTCTAATCGGGTTCACCAGAACGGGCGGGGAGCTTTCTACGGCCTTTTTAAATTAAAAAACGCTCACTAAGAGATGGCAAAACCCGTTGATAGACGACTGGTAACCAGGATACCGGGCCTTCGATTAACTATTACGGCTAGAATGCAACTGAGCGTGACTTACGTTTGGTTAGGGCTCGGTGAAAAGGAATACGGACGTTTGGTTTAATTAGATCTGAGCACATCAACTACCGCCATTTTTTATTCCGTTGTGGGAACCTAGTTGCAAATTACTTATACGAAGACTAACGGCGGTCTTGCAACGTGCCTCATGAAGTTATAGGAAGCCGAGTTTAGAGAGACTTGTTGCGAGGACCAATGTTGCCTTGATCTTGAGTTACATGATGGAACAAAATATGTAACCTTACACATGAAACGCGCCCCGCGACATTCATGGGATACGCCTCTTTAACATGACTACTCGTGTCTTTTTTAATCATTAAAAACGAGGGAAGTTCCCAGAAGTTCCCTTGGTAGTTGATTAGTCGTGAAATAAGTTGTAAAAAGTGAATATGGAATATTTAATTCTTGGTTTTCAACCATGTTACAAGGCGGCCATGTTGGGGGTCAGTACAATAGAATTTACGTCAAAATAGAGTTTAGTTCCCAGAGGAGAGAAATGCATTTGGTCTTGACCATCAACATGGCCGCCGTGACGTCAGCAATTCGGTGAAGAAACAAAAAAACTGCTTGCAATGACATTTACGTCTTTCCCCGGAGTGAATTGAAAAAGAAACCGTAGGGGAATAATAGTTTCTTGATGTTGGGGCGTGTGCAATCACCAAATGACGTAATACCAAAGATTAAAAAAGACACTGAGCCGATGCCCACACCACAAAACAAAGGCGAACCAACCATGGTTTCCGCCACACCAAGAAACATCTCATTATCTGGCACTCATTACTTCAGGATCAGTATAATTTTTTTAAAAATTAATTATTCATCCACACCACCTGTTAAAATAGCTGGTGGCATTTAAATAAAAGGGGATGCATTCACACATCCACACAAACAAGTAATAATAGAAAACATGGATTCTTCCGTTCATGGTTCCGTAAGCGATCACCATTACTTGAGAAGCTTTTTCGACAAGATGAACCAAATGAGAAAGGGTGAAGTTCTTTGTGACGTTGTGCTTATGACGGAAAATGGGAGATCAAAACTGTATGCGCATAGAAGTGTTTTGGCAGCAAGTAGTTCATATTTTTACAACCTTTACACTGGTACTTATCTTTCAAGGTATAGTAGGGAAACTGTTATCGGGGGAATTACAGATGATACACTCAGCATCATTCTGGATTATATTTATTCTTCTAAAATATTGCTGGACCAAGGGAACGTGGAAGCAATTTTGTACGCTGCTTTCCAGCTCGGATTAGAATCTCTCGTACAGCTGTGTGAAAAGTTTCTTCTTCGCAAGCTATGTGTTGAGAACTGCATTAAAATGACGACTTTAGCCAGATTATACTCACTTGAAACGCTCCAGAGTGAAGGACAACGCTTGATAATCAATAATTTCTTGAAAATTAAAAACTCTGGAGAATTTTTTCAGCTATCAAGCAAAGAACTGGTTCAAATAGTATCTGACGATGATTTAAATGTGAGAAATGAAGAACAAGTTTATAATGCGATTCGAGCGTGGGTAAGTTATGATGTGTCATCGAGGCAGCCTGAATTTGAAAACCTTTTGAGTCATGTGCGACTGCCATACATCAATCGTAAATTTTTACTTGGCACAATCGACAAGGATTCTCTAGTCACCTCATCTTCGGCAAGTAGAGAATTGGTGGCCGAAGCATTGTCTTTCAAGATGGCGAGTCACAGAGATAAAAAGCTTTTCCACAACGAAAGAACTAAACGAAGGTAGTAAGTTTATTCCGCTGTTATTTTTAAAATATAGCGTTCTCAATACTGGCTCGTCCTCAGTCCCTCACAGTCGCTTATCTGAGATATTTCAGAGGGGGAGGAAGGAACGGGAAGCCGGAGAAAATCTGTCCATCATGCCCCCTCTCGACTCCTACTCCCCATATTGAAGTACACCAACCACACTTTGCCTTGAAAAACGAAACACAGGGTACTAGAGTTTGCTTTTCTCGCGTGTAGCGGGACGCTTTGGGGTAGGAATCAAACGCGCATGAAAAATAAAAGTCTCGGATACCCATGGTAATTAATAGGAAAAACCTTGTAGAGGAGGCAGCTCTCAATACAGCCCCAACGTAAAGTGGAAGCCAAGACGTGTCTTGAAGCGAGCAAAACGGGCGCGAGGAAGCACAAAGTACGAGAAAGTAGAGGGTTGAATTGTGAACAGTCCAGTGATTTTATACCTGACCATTTTTACTCTATAATCCATTTGTGTGTGTATTAGCAATGCTGTCCCCAGATAGTACTGATTGATGAGACATTCTGTGGATGCGGAGGGGACTGGGTTGGCCGTGTGTCGAAATTCATAATGGGGCTGTCTTGCGGAACAAACTTGGACCCAACCTACTGCGTAACGTCGTATATTGTAATTACCAGTAATCCCTTAAACATCCCACAGTGCATTTCGACATTAAACTGACCCATGCTTAGTCTCACAACCTCAAAGTGGCCAAAGATTAAATCATTTTTAAGCAGGTTTTGCTCAGTTTATATTGAAAAACGGCTGCAAAGAATTCATTCGCGCTGATCACCTGTAAAACCAATTAACCATCCTCTGTCTGTGCAACCTCGTTCCCAGACTCCGAGTATCGTCCTCTCGTCCGTCTCTCGCTTCAGGAAACGGTAGGACAAGAGAGGCCCGGAGCGAGGTTGCTGTTTGCATGAGTTGTTGGCCCCGCTTTTTACAGGGCTTCTTCCGGTACTGCAGGCTTGTTTGTTTGTAATACCAAAAACGTCCGGATTGTAGAAGAGCCACTGACATGACGATCCGGTCGTGGAATGCAAATCAATAGAGATGGAGAGAGATGTCGCTTCCGGTTTCCTCCTGTATTTAGGAATATTCGTGATTTTACGTAATATGATAGATATTGCTGTTTTTGTCTTTATGGTCTTCATGGAATCATCAGGTGGAAATCTCACTTGATTGACGTCATCGTCTTAGTTGGAGGCGTCGTAGAAGACGGCGTTCAGCCTTGCTGCCACTGCTTCAATCCGCTGACCAATAAATGGCACTACATGTCTCCGGTGATTGACAGCCGGTTGAACTTTGGCCTTGCCCGGTTACAAGGATGTTTGTTTGCGGTGGGTGGCTCTACGATTGGAGAGAAAATGACGATGCTTTCAAGCGTTGAAAGATTTGATCCCAAATTCAACTCTTGGGAGAAACACGCTCCGTTGAGCCAGGGTAAGAAGGGAGCGTAGGGAATTGTGGGGACATGCAATGTGATTTTCCACACAAGCTACAGGTTAACATTTATAGAATGGAAAGCAGAAGCGGAAACAGAAAGATTAGAGACAGAAGCGCAAAAAAGAAACAAACAAATAAACAAAAACAAAAACAAAAACAAAAGCGGAAGCTCGATGGAAGCAGGGACAGAAATAATGGAAGACTTTAAGGTAAATGGTTTAAAGCCAGAATGTAGCGGATAATGAAACGGTCATTGTGAGTCAACGAAAAAACTTTTTTCCAGAATCCTCTAGAAATTGAATTGAAAACATACTACTTAAGTAGAAACCTCAAGACTAATGTTTAGCAAACTACTGAAGACTTCCGCTTTTGTTCCGTCGTTATGGTTAACAGGAGGACATAAAGTTGTTTCCATTCGGTTTCCCGTGTTTGTTGCTTCTTTTGTTTGTATAACCCTACGATCGAAGACCCCACCCCATAACAACGTTAATCCACAGCAAGGGGACATGTTACAAAAGGTTGAGTAATACCAGAGTGTCCCAATTTATGGTTCTGACTTAGTTTAGGCCTACTAAAATACCCTAGAAGATAGATGATTCTGGCTTTAGCGTGTGTGAAAAGGAAAGTTGCTAGAAATTTTTTTGGTTTACCAAAAGCATTGTAGACATTGTAAAGCAAAACCTTGGCAGTCACGAAATTAGTTATAAAGCTCTCTGGTAGATTAAGTCGCACTTCAATGTATCGGCAGGTCGCTTCAGCCACGAGACCCTGGAACTTCAAGGGAAAATATACGTTGTTGGAGGAGTTTTAGAAAGAAATAGTCAAGAGCAAACGATGGAATGCTATGATCACGTGACAGACAAGTGGACTTCACTTTCTGCACCCCGTCAGAATCGTCATTCTCACTGTGCAATGTCACTAAATGGCTACCTTTATGTGATTGGAGGTAAGTTTATGGTATTTCTGTTTAAAACCTATTAGGTTTATTGCGGGTAACCAGAGGAGCCCGCAATCCTGATCTCCAGGTTGCTACTACGCATGCGCGGTAAGTATGTAACCAGTTGGGATTTCCTACTAGAATAAATGGAATGCGCAGAACACATCTGATTACGAGCCGTAGCACCTTCTATAGCGAGAAACCCACGCAAATCACAGCGTTTGACCTTCTTTCGATCTCGCACGCATTCTCTTACCTTTGGTTATTACTAGTTTCCTGGATCAGTTAACGTACAATGACATTGTATCGCCCATGTAAAGGAATCAAAGACATTCTCGGATTCTGAATTCACGCCGTGGATTTCAAATTCCAGGCACTGGAATTCCGGATTACGGAATACGGATTCCCTTACATGGAGCGAATTGTAGCCAGTCGCTATCAAAGATCTTAAGCCCCATATTTACGTGTTAACGGATTTACTCAAGACTTGTACCTACTACTTCTGACAGTCTTTTTACCACTGTACAATCTCTGTAGGAATCTCCAAAAACAACAACGTTCTTAAGACAGTGGAAAGGTATGATCCTCAACACGACAAATGGCACAACGTGGCGAACCTCAACATCCCGCGGAGTGGAGCATGCGCAGTAGTACTGATGGGTCAAATCTTCGTGATGGGTGGTGGTTCAGACGTTCGTAAAATTCTGAATTCCTGTGAGATTTACGACCCTGGAGTAGATAGATGGTTTATCGGGAAAGGTGAGTCCGATCAGCTTTCCTTCTTTCAAGGGCTAACAACACGCATCAATAAACATGATGAACTGTAACTATATATAGTATATCTTTTCTTTTTTTTGTTATCTTGTCTTTTTAAGTAGCCACACCATATCACGTCATATTATGTAATTTCCGGTCATTATTTTACTTCATATATATTTCTATAAATTCGTGATATCTCAATAAACCTGATGAAGACTACTATTGGCCAGTCGAAATATCGCAACTTAACTCTATTTCACGTTGTTTGATTAGTCCCTGCAAAAGTCTTCTTGACTGTAACGTTTTCAACGCGCATCAGTTTGATCCGCGTCGCTGAAACACCCGGAGGGTGCCCCCTTATAATGGCCTACACGGGGATGCTCAGCCCGAAAGGGGTACCTTTCTCAAGCTTCAGATGAAAAGGTCGGGATTTCGTTAGTTGAAGTATTGGAAAGGGTTGGGAAATCCGTCATTTCGGTCCTTAAAAGGACCAAAAAGGGCTAACAGACACATTTGAGGGACGTGTAAGAGACAAGAAAACTTCGTGGTTTAGTGAGTTATTCACGTTAAAAAGACGTTGAATTTAAGGCAGTTAAAAGACATGCAAAGTTCTAAACTAGGTAAGTGAAACGGGTGCCATTTTTAAGTCGCAGGCTTAAGAAAGGAGTACCTTTTCTTTCAAAATGGTATACAAAAGGGTGAGGGGTTGGACCTAGGGGCGGAGCCTCCCCGTATAAAACGTTGTCGAGTACCGCACATAGCGCACGTCGTCATTGTCATTTTTAGCCTCAAGCTTATTATTCTTTTGTTTTTCAGATATGAAAACTAAACGTGATCGCGCTGGGGCCACGGTCTTTGGTGGAAGAATCTACGTGTTTGGTGGTTCATATGGTAACGTAGCTGTGACATCAGTGGAGTGTTATGACCCCCGTGAAGATGGTTGGTCCGTTATAACTGAGCTGCCTTACCCACGATATGGATTTCGGTGCGCAACAACTGCTGTAACAAACGACATGATAGCAGACGTACCTCCTGCGAAACCAAAAGCACGAAACCAAGAAAAATTGATTTAGAAAGTTACGACATTGCATTGCCTTTTGGTATCGTTGCTGCTTGACTTAGACTGATAACAGGCCATCCAAAGATCGTCAAGGGTAACAGCTGCAGACGATTTATTCGAACCGAGATAACCGATTCAGGACTCTTACAATGACTCAAATACTTTCACCATTCAATCACGTTAAGAGTCTGTACTGACAGTACAGAGATTTAGAATCACGATTAATGCAGACGGCAAACGGCAGATTCGTGTTGCGATTTAATTCTCGCATTAGGAAATGAGCGTATACAGTAAAAACTGTTCAAAAGAATTTCTACGGATGAATCTCACATGAAAATGCTTATTTTTGAGTACATACAGTTAACTCTCGCCTTGCAGACACCCCGGTTATACGGATAGCGGCTAAATCCCAGGCAAAAAATAAGTTTGACTGAAAAACAACTCCCGCTGTTACGGACCCTTGCTAATGTGGACACTGACTCAAGGTCCCTACAGTACTGTGTCCGCTATAGAAGGAATTGGCTGTAATTACAAAGAATAGTAGAAGACAGGTAAAGGGATACATAAATTGACCACAAAGGGAAAACTGGTATTTTTCATTTGCCGTGAACGTGATTCTAAGGCCTATTTTAAAACTCCCTAATAACATCACGACTTAACCGACAGACAGCCCAATATAAACATACAAATTCTCCACACTGACCTCCATACATTTCTTTAAATAATGAGTTAAGAGAATTTTATAAAAGATCAACGTAATTTCACTTTGGTGATCATTTTATCAGTTCTCATAACCATATAACTTGACAGTGTATGGATATCGTTAGGAGAAAAATTGGTGTTGGTCACCATTGGGACTTAAAGGGTTGATGAAGTCACGACGTAGTTGACCTATAAAACAAATAAAAATATTGATTGAGGTAAGAAAATCGGAAGAGGAGAACAGTGTGAATCATGGAAGACCTGCAAAAACCTTCAGAGAGCAGACTGCACCAAACCAAACCTCCACCCACAAAGAGAAGCAGAGCAGCATACTGTATTTTCTCAAACTTTTGTTTACTTGTGAATTAATTACAAATTATTTGGAGTGCGTATTTTGTTTTTTATAGAGACACTGCCTACCTAGACTAGCCTTTGCTGTTTGTGGGCGGTGAGAAAAAAATTATTGTAAATTTGGATTAACCAATAAAAATGAATGAATGAATCTCGCAAGCTATTCTGATGTCTCAAGTGTATAGCCGCACATACTAATTTGATCTTATTTTTGCTGTCAGATGATCTTAGAATGGCAAAGCATCCCACTTCGTAGTTAAATAACCATCAAGTCTGAATTGCCTTGTCAGAGTAGATTAATCTCTCCACTGGAAGCTTGTCCAGGATTAAGCTTTTTGTTTCTCATTTCTCAACTTTCATCTTCTTCTCGGCCAATTTTCTTTCCGCCAATTCTTTCTGTAGTGCAGGGGCCAGTTTCGGGAGAAGACCTATCAAATAAATATGTAATCATAAAAATGACTGTCTCACAGTATCCTTTTCATGAAAATTTGTCTTTCAGACATTGCATTGCAGTTTACATGTATCTAAGTTACAATACAACGTCCAACTAGGTAATGCCTCAAAATAATACACAAAATTCAAAGGGCTGGAAAAAATATCCATTTAAAAAGCTTGTGATTAAAAAAATGTGTAAGCTACCGGTATTAAGGATCCTTTGGAAATCTTTGCATTCCAGAGATTGGCTGATGATTTCATTTTTCACTGGTGCTGCTCTTAACAGACGAGGCTTCTATAGTTCATTGTTCTTGTATCAACATTTCAAAGCCACAATCTTGCAGTGGTGGGATTTAGCCCTAAAGGGGTCTCTAAAGGTGAAAGTACAGGCCAAGAAGTCCACCTGTCCCAAACTTTTCTTATTTTCAGTAACCAGGATGCACCTAAGAGTCTTTTGCCCTGAAAACTTCCCCTTAGATTTCATTCAATATTGTATTACCCTTTTTTTTTACCCAAAAATCGTTAGAATGAAAGTATGAGCAGTGAAGCGACAAGTTCAAAATGTGGATCCAGGCAAGTATACATATTAGAACAAACACTCCTACCATGAACAAGGACGAGGAGCATACCAGCTATCTCCTATATGGACCCAAGTGATTTCCACCCCCAAGCAGGGGGGAGGGAGGAGTGGCCTTGACAGAATATTGATTGTTTATGTTGCAATTAACTCCTTCAAAAGCCTATTTAGGGCTACTGCCAGTTGTGACAGTTTTAGTTTCGATAAAGATTGCTGTCAGTCATTGGGGTATGATTTTAGAAGAACATTTGAATAGAGATCTCAACTTTGCTATCCTATAATACACCAAACTTCCAAAATCTGTCCCTATCCAAGGATTGCTTTTTTCAAGAGACTACTGAGGTCTACACTTTCTTGGCCAATAAACAGAGTTGCTGGTAAATATTTCAATTTGCTGATTATATTTTCTTGGAGTAGTAATTCCCAGTTTCTCTAGTCTAGACCTTACAGCCAACTGATCAGTTTCAAGGAAAATGGTACCCCATTCTTGACCCAAATTCTCTGATTTCTATACCCTGTCCCAGACTGAATTGCTTGAAAACTATACCCTTCACAGTGGAACATACCGGCCTATTTAGTGCCAAAACATGTGTTGCCAAGTGAATTGTTTACCTAATCTCTGTGATATCTTGATTGCTTTCTCTAACTTTCGCTGCTGTTTTCTGCAAACACCTTTTAAAGAAAGGAATGAAGAATTTTAAAGAATTTTAGAGTAATAAACTGTTTTTTGTGCTTTAATAAAAATTAATTTATCACACGATACATGTACCCTGCAAACTACAGCCCGTGTCCTTTCCGTAACTGCAAAAACAATATTCTTGCCTTAAGTTACATGTACATCAGTTGAATTTCATACCACACTCAGAAAAAAAAGAGAGGAACAAGACAATACCACTTATGTAAGGTATAAAGCCACCTAGAAAATAGATAAAACACTAATCTAGCCAGGAGGCATTATAGACTATTTAAAAAGAAAAAAGGGGTTCTTACATGAGGTACAAGTATAAATGTTTGTAAAGAAAAAAATACACTCCAAACAATGACTAAAACCTGAAGCAATCTGGTTTTGAAACTTGTAAAGAAATTTTAACCAAAGTTGATAAGTTCAATTTGTTCCAATAACAAATGAATTTTTTTCACCAGTTGCAGTGCGACCACTATAACCGGGGCCACCTAGACAAAGTTGACCAATCGGATTAAAGGAAAATAACAATACATTTTGAGATAAGTTAGTTGTCAATCATAATTACCTCGTTACGAAGTAAACAACAAGGATCAAAATCAACAAATTACAACCTACAGACGTGACCTTTGGAACCTGCTGAAGAAAGCATGTGTTTCCCAAGAGGTCCATTAGAGTGAATGATTGAGGCAAAAAACGTAAATGATAGTTACATTTTTTACTTGTGGTTGCATGTTATTGCAAAGCGCAGCAATAGTAGCGAAGAAATTCCTGGTAGATGACAAAATAACAGCCTGTGTCAAAGAAATATGTGTCCTGGGCGTTGTATGCAAAGTTTTGAATAGAAAAACATTGTCAGGTGAAACATTTTGCTTTCCTTGCTATCAATATTAATTTTGTGCTTTGCGTAACTTGTTGCTTTTATACAAGCTGCTGATTGGCCCACAACCAACTTTCTTGGAATGTATTGTTATTTTCCTGTAACCCGATTGGTCAACTTTGTCTAAGTAGCCCCGGTTACAGTAGTTGCACTGTAACAAATGATGGAACAGAATCTTAATTCTAAAGTGTTATCTTGTTAGAAATAAACCATAAACCCTTCTCAGCATTAGCCCTAATAAAGGTGACTGGTTTTTGCTTGGAAACTGTTGCAGGTAAATTGGTTAAGAAAAGTTGTAAGAAATGGAAAGTGATCAAACTCAAAAATTATTGTGAAACAAATGACTGTGAAGAACGTACCAGGTTTCAAAGAGAGATAAGACATATGTACCTGTTACTCTTCGATTGAGAATGTATCCTCTTGGTGACATAAATTGTGACAAAAATAGCACATCCTATGGGACAATAATAAATTAGTACACAGTGACTAATACCATTGTTACTATTATTATTATTATAAAACAAGCACTTTATTTGAGTGTCAATGTATTTAGCACGAAAGTGCTAATTGGGGACACTATATTTTACGTCTCCTAATGGAGACGGGACCACCATTTTACGTGGTCATCCAAGCCACGCGAAGGTCCAGCTGCCTGCAGGGCAAAGGAAGTACCTTCATTTCTCAGTTATTTCAAGACCCTGAGTATTGGTATTGGTCTTTAATACTATTATTATTATTATTATTGTTGTTGTTATTGTTCTCATTATTCATTCTCATAAACTAGGATTCCTTGGTCCTTGGGAGGAGGGACCAAATCATGACTAAGGATCTCTCTCACTGCTTGATTGATATTACTCTCTGCAAGATGTGAGCTGTTTCTTTGAATGTTGTCTTTTGGAATTTATTATTATTACTTCATATTACTATTAGCAACATTATTATTCTAACTTACTTTGTAAGTAAATGTGATATCTCTACTGCAGATTGGGCAGCCTACATCTGCTTTGTTTATTTTCTCCTCTGTCAGAATGGAAGCCTTGATTCCTACATTGTGTAGAAAAGGTTTCTAGACAATTATTATTGTAGAAAATATAATAAAACAGCTACCCTGTTCAGGAAATGTCTTGAACTTTGACACCACCTTCTGGGTAGCGGGTAGAGTCCCAACACTTACACATTAATGCACTGCCTAGCCTCCCACGCAAACGTTCTTAGGGGTTCATCACACGTTCCTGCCCTGCGTGGGAGGCTATGCACTGCCACCATTAATAAATAAATAAAAATTTTATTGATTAACATGATAAACTTCACACAATAGAACGACACAACAACACAGGAAAAAATAACGGATTCCCATTTTTGGATATTTTAGGGTATTTAAAGAATACCCAAAAAATTCCCAAATTTGGAAGAGTGAGGCAAGTCCCAATCAGGGAACTTGGTTGGGAATTCCCTGGTTGGGACTTGTCTCACTTTGCCAAATTTGGGATTTTTATGGGTTTTCTTTAAATACCCTAAAATATCCAAAAATGGGAATCCGTTATTTTTTCCTGTGCGATATAGTGCATCTATTCACTTGCTATATCGAGCATCCCCTAAATAAGAACTGCTTATTCAGACATATTTCACATCGCTACCATTAACTTTCGGTCAATTAAAAAATAACTAAAACTAGCCAGATCAAAAGTTCAGCTCTGAGAGTACTCACCAAGCCAACTTTGAAGACTGAAACGCCTGACTCCTAACGCTGTTTCTCTGGCAATTCTTAAATTATTCATTGAAGAATCAGTTGAGCTAGAACAGATAATACTAGAAGAATGTAAACATCTTGAGAAACCTGGGACTGTAAGTGGGAAAACAGCCACATCGTTTAGCAGCCTCAGCCGGGAAAGGCTTATGGCAGCCATGTTGAAATTCATGAATTACTTCATGTCTGACCTCACGTAAATTTTGAGGACTACCGCTGGCTTTGATATCGAATGCTCATAACTTGCTTTGGCAAAACGTGATGGGGATGAGTCAAACTTGGCTATTTTTGTGACGATGATATTTCGCACAGTAAATTGGAGGATCTTCCCTAATTAGGGAAAATTAATTGACCATGTATTCGAGCAGCAACGGTCTGCGAAAGCCAAGGCGAGTTGGCTTCTTGGTGAGTCGGCGAAAGATGAGGAAATCGATTTTCGACACCTTTGCGCTCTTATGCGAGTACGTTCAATTTTTTGAGCTTGTTTTTTGGTGATTAATTTATAAACATTATCATGATCAAGATCCATTTCAAATGGTTCAAATTTTCCTGAGGGTATTAATTTTTCTTCTTTTTACACTCTAGGAAAACGGGCATTGATTTGGTCGAGGTAGGTTTTCTTGTACATTTCACTGTCCGATCTTCGATGTACGATTTGATTCCGTATAACTTAATTACAGATGTGTGTGTTGGCCTACCTGTAGTATTTTGCTCTGTTGATCCCCTGAATTGTTTGTTTCGATGATATTGGAAATAAGATCCGTTTTGTATATTGTCAATTCCATATGCAGAGAAACGAGACAAGTGCATCCAGCTTGTTTTTCTGGAATGTCGTATTCCAATTCCTGGGACTAGAACTTGTATTAGTTAAGCTTAATTTATAAGCTTTATAAAACGAAATTTGTTATTCAATTGTACTTTGAAGAGTAGGAATAAACCTATCCACTGGTAATGGAAGGTTTTCTTAGCTCTAAATACGAATGCAGGTTTCAGAAGTGAACTTATTATCCTTTTGCCAAACTTCAGAACACCCAGCCACTTATTTGGGTCACCTTGAATAACGAAATTGTCTGTTGTATTATGCCTAGTTGTCCTAAGTTTTCTGGAAAGTGACTAGGTATTCTGAAGTTGTTATAATTGTAGTCATGTATTTTAATAAAGTGGGGCAGTGTTGAGGTTGATTATCAAGGCTCCGTCTAAATATAACCACAGCCCGGGGGAACCACAGGCCACTGGCAAGTGGTTTCACTGCAAAATTTTGAACACTTTGACATCATTTCTTTGGTCGACAAGAGTACAGACCATGTCAATGTGTTAATCAATTTTATTTTCAAGTATAAATTTGCAGTATTTTGAGACTAACAGACATTGGAGCATGATGTCCTTTAACAAAAACTTTTTCAATATCTCAATAATATTGATCTTTGATACTCATTATATTATTCTCAGTTTTCACATAACATCACCAAACTTCAAACTAAGGAATTATCGATCCATCTAAGTTTTCACTTTCATGAGGTATCACAGCAGCTAAACACCTTTTCTTACAAAAGGGTTTTTCATTTTCCAATAGGAGGCACTTGAATTTTAAAGCTTTTGCAAGATGCAGCATTTATCTGTCGCCTGGGAAACCTCTTATGTGGGTTAAAAACGTTACTAGTTTTTTGAGATTTTGTTATCTAAACATTCCTTGTCTCAGAATAAAATATTACTTTAATCTCAATGACTTTCTGTTTTGAATGGGTTACATTTTTTTATTTTGAATGGTGTGACAGTGAAAACAGTAGAATTCACAAATTTAGTAGCACCAGCATAAATACCTTAACAAAACATGAACAAAAATAGTGAAAATCAAACTGATTAACCAAAAGATGGGTCATTTAATGATCCTAACTTTTGACTCTTTTAATTCCGATAATCTCTCTTTAATAATATTTGTCGTATTTACTTTTTAAAAGGTTGACATGGACAGACCATTGGAAGAACAGGGACCATTTGACCTTATCATTCAGAAGCTTACAGACTACATGGCAGCTGCAATTGATGGGAGTCAAGATGCCATGAAAACATTAAAAAGACTTGAGGTGAAAGGAGTGAAGTCGTAATCTTTTGCCCCCATTCTTTTGTGTCTGAATACCTTCTTATAGGAAGTTAACCCTTCAAGATATTGAAATTTGCGTTAATTTAAGTCGCGTTAATTTTTTGAAACATTAATTTCTGTGCCATTAATTAATTGGAGCATTGATATTTCTACGACCTTAATTTCATTATTTTGGATACACTTCTGACATTCTTGACACACTTACGAAAGAGGAGTATTCTATCAGGATGGAGATCTGCTGGTAACAATGAAACTGTGAAGAACCCACGAAATGGTCAGATTTCTTTGCTTGACCCCGTCTTATGGGTGGGAAAAGTACCACGAGCAAAGTTTCCATTTCAGATTATACATTTAACTTTGTTTCTGTTGTCTCAACTAGTTTAGTTTCTTTTTGAGCATTTTATTTATCTGCTTCATTTTGAAATGTTACCCTCTCTTTTGTGTTAATTTTCTTCCTTTGGAAGTCATTTTGCACTATTAAAAGTCGCATTAATTGAAGTCCTGTTAATTTCCCATACTTCAATTTCATGGAGCATTTTTAATTTCCTGTAACAAGGTAATTGGGTTCCAATGAGCTGTATCTCAGGCCTTAGAACTGGGAGGCAGCATGGCCAAGTGGTCAGCTTGTTGGACTCGCAATCTGGCAATCGCGGGTGCGAGTCCCACTCTTGCCACTTGCTGGATTTGTTCTAGGTTGTCCCTAGTTCAACAGCCACATTTATAAATAGCCAACTGGTTGCCTCCTGCCAGCTGGGGTTTTTTATCCTGTTATGTTGTGTTTGAATGATTTTTTTCTAAGTATTTGAGTGGATCACTAAGTCTTGTAAACTAGCTGGATAAGCTAAGAGCACTTTCCACCATAGACAAGCCTTTAAACCCTTTTTAAACCTTTATCCCCCTTGAATATGCAAGACTGTCATATCTCTAACTTAAAAGCGCCACCTGGTTAGCTCTGTTGGACAAGCACTGGTCTACCAAGCGGGAGGCTGCTGGTTCAAACCCCGACTGGACCAACACTCAGGGTCTTAAAATAACTGAGCAGAAAGTGCTACCTTTGTAAAGACAACTGCAAACAGTTAGACTTGACTCTAAATTTTAGGCCCTGTCTCAACCCTTGCACTTGTAAATTCTGTGGGATGCTGAAGAACTCACACAATGTTTACAAAAGAGTAGGGGGCATATCATCCCCGGTGTGGTGGTCTATCTCTCATGGTGGAGGGGACTGTTATGAGCCCGTAGTACTTATTGGCATCAAGTATTGTTGCAGTGACCCTGCCAAATTTGGTGAACCTAAGTAAACTTTTCAACTTCTTTTACCCAAATATTTGCCATCAAGTTTCATGTTAGCTTTAAAATGCTTTTTTCTGACCTTGCATTTTAGATCTACATAAAAGACCACCCTGAAGTCATTGTGATTGATCCGATGGAGTCTGTCAGTAAGCTTTTTGACAGAACAACAAGCTACCGGATAATGAAAGAATGTGAAATACTAGAAGAAGGTTAGTTGAGATTATTGAAGTTATTTTAATTTGTATTCTTGTTGTTTGATGATATTATTATTGAAAGTTAGTGAGTGCTACAAAATGTTTAGTGGTGAGCAAAAGATTTAATAATTCATTGTTTTGTGGCTAGTAGTGAATACTTTAAGGAAGGGAAGGGTGATATTGTGGTTCTGATCAGTTTCTATTAGTACAGTTTTATAACTGTCTAATATCCATGTACAAAAAAATGATAGGAAACTGAAAGACGGCGTGGATATATACAAAGTGAAGTAAAATACCTGCTGTGAAAGATTTTAATTTCTCACAGCTGAAATCCATTAATACTGTGCACTGTTTTATTACAGTTAAAAATAAATGTAATATTTTTTCTTTGTTTGTAAACATAAGGTGTTTATAATATAATACGTGTCAAAAGCTGCTTACTACAGCACACAAAAGGTTAGAATGTTTCTTTGTTGAATGCCTTAAAAAGACATTCAGGCCCTAAAATTTCCTTCAAATATACATACACTGTAGGACACCTGAATATTAAGATCTTTCCCTACAGATAACCCACCCTGCCCAGGAAAGGTTGGCCACACCATGGGGGCCTACATGTGTATGTCCCCTACTCTTTTTGAACAGTGGTGTGGCTTCGTTTATGTCCCACAAGAACCAGTAAGTGAAAGTGCTGTGAGATGGGACCTACAGATTTTCGTCCTTATCCGAGAAGACTAGAAAGTCCGACCTTTTGCAGATGTTATTACAAAGGCAGCACTTTTTTTCTCAGTTATTTAAAGAACCTGAGTGTTGGTCCGGCTGGGTTTTGAACCCACGACCTCCCACTCATTAGACTGGCACTCTTCCAACTGAGCTAACCAGGTGGTGGTATTCATATACTATTATATGCTATTTGCGTACTATTTTGATATGAATATTTTATCATCAGGAATAACTACATGTCCATTTTCTTTATGTGCTATTTTTGTTGTAGGAGTAAGAGTTTTTATTCCTAATTTCGTGCAAATTGATGCAATGGATCACAAGGAAAACTTGAGAAAAATAGAAAATGCTGGTGTTTCATATCCAATGGGTGAGTGACAACAATCCCTTAAAAATAATAAAAAAAGTAATAATAATTTTCATAAAGGTGCCTACAATAGTTTCTCTATATACACAGGAAGATATTGCTTCATTGAGGAGGTGTACAGCTGTAAATTGACATTTGATTGGCACCTTGAACTCAAGCCTTAAATTTATCAGCTTCTCAAGATAGTCAATAGACATTTCTAATGTGAAAAAAAAGTTATGAATAAAGAATTCTGAACAACTGCATATTTTTCTTGGTATGTGTAACACAGTGAGACCATCTTAATTTTTTGGAATTTAGTCTGATAAAAAATAGCAGTATATCCATATCTGAGATGTTTCTAGAACCAGGTATGAACAAATGTCTTGATATCTGCAATGAAAATTTACCTACTAAACTGTGTAATATTATTTTGAAATACCAGTTATAGTTTGCAAGAATCTGTCTTATCTGTTTGGGTGATACTCTCATGTTCCTGTCCCAAACCTTTCATATTCAAGACAGCTTACCTATATTACAGTCAAAATTATTCAGTTAAAGGGATGTGAAAAGGACATGCTAGAGTTCACTCAGTGCTTCAAAAGCAATTACCGAGGTCACCTGAAAGTGTCAATATGAAAGTAAGAGGAAACATGTGAGCTTTCCATCTGGACATAGAAAAGTGTCCATTATGACTGGGTGTCCAAATCAAGTGGGTGTCTGCAGGGCAGCCAGGCTCCATGAGAGTAATTTGTTTTGTCTTTTTCAGTTTGTAAAACTGTTATTGGACATGGATCAGAATCATGCCATGAGGTATTATGAGATTTGTATTGTAGAAATAAAGAGAACAAAAAACATATTAAGAAACATTTTTCATTACCTAAAAGCACTTAAGGCTTTTCGAGGTTTTTTACGGACTATTTTTCCTTTTCCATCTTTGGTCTGTATAGTTGTGCTTTTATTTAACAAGTGATGCCTACATATAGAACAATCTCTGTCTGTTCAAATGTGTTTGTTACGTATATATATGCAAAAAGTTACTTTTTTGGACTGATTGGAAGTTACTTTATTTCAGATGTCAGTTATATTTAACGAAGAGGGACTCAAGGATCTAATGCCTCCTTGTGTTGTTCAACAGTTTGTTAACCACAATGCCGTTTTATTTAAGGTAACTGTGATGGTTTCATTTCATGGTTGGTAAAGTATGGCTGAAAAGACACCTTTCTTTACAGCTCGTTTTAAGCAAAGCAGGTATCTTAGACAATAATTCAGAAAAACAGTGAATCTTAGAGCACCAACAAAAAATTAAGTGTTTAAATGTGACAATAGGCCGATCAAAACACACCAATGACGTTAGGAGTCTTCGTAGCCAATAACATCACAGCTTAACTGACAGACAACCAATAACAGCGTGACTTAATTGACCAATCAGGTCAATATAACCAGAGTTTAATAACATCAACTGACTGAATACAACTCACTTTGATGCTGAAGATGAAGATGACTACCGTACAGGATGTCGAAACGTCAGTTACTGTCAACAACAACAGTCCTATTCAATAATTATGTAGACGTAAGGGTATAACAACAGTGGGACAAAAAAGGAATTTTGCTGTAAAGTGCAGCTGTGCAATGACGTGAGCATTTTATTTTGTATCGTAAGACACAATTTGTGATGGCATCATTTACTTACTTACTTCTTTCATTTAACAGGTTTTTGTAGCAGGGAACAAACACTATATTGTAAAGCGACCTTCAATAAAGAATTTTTATAGTACTGATGGTAAGTTTCTTTAGTCTTTAGTAGTTGTAGTAGTTGTAGTTCCGGATCAATGAAGGTTTCTGGGAAACTGCCCACCTACCCCTCCCCTAAGGTAACAATAACACTTACTTCTCACTTAGGGGAAAAAAGATGGCTTAGGGGAGGGGTAGGTGGGCAGTTTCCCAGAAACCTAAAGTGATCTGTAGTTCCTTCTATTGACAAAGCTGGCTTTGAATATTACAATTAACAGTAAAATTTTTGGGATTTAACCAACCAACTTAAACTTTAGAGTTAATTTTAAAAAGTACATTAGTTAACTCCTGTTGTTTATTGAACAGAAAATAAGGGTGTGTAGAAAACTCAGACCCTCAGAAAATGTAGTAATTTTCATGTGTGCTCAAGTATTTTGTGCACTCTACTATCCCTGAATGAGGGCCTCTTAGTTGGGGGTGGGTGGGGGGGGGCATTTACAGTGTATGTTCTTTGTCTGAATTTCAAATATTGTCGTTTTTGCATTTTGAGGAGTAGGCTATGTCCCACTGTTTTAAGGCCATGTCACTTGTCATAATTTTATCCTAACAGGGTCTCCTGAACATGAGGGACAAACTGCATTCTAATACAGAGCTGACACTAAGATTTATTAGAATTGCTGGCTTTGTGAGATTAGTAGGCAGGGAATTGAGCAACTAAGAAGTTATTATGGTTCTATTTACCTTTTGTTTCTTATGAAAGGAGACAGGGGGTAATGCTTACAGTTACAAGGGGAAATCATGTCAAGTTTGCATGTGCATAACCAATTACTTACTGTTATGATGAGGGCCGTAGGTTAGAAAACTGTAATAGGTTATTGCGCTTCCCTCTTTAAATAAAGTTATTGTATTGTATTGTATTGTATGATAACATGTCATTCTTTGCAACAGCTAAGGACAGAAAAACAATATTTTTCTCATCACATGACGTTTCTAAACCTGACTCTGGTTCATATCTTAGTGAGGTGAGTGTAAAATATTTGACTTTTGTTTGTTTTTTGGGCAGTGCCCAAATGAAGTTGCAGGGATGGTCAGATTGGCTTCAAAGTTGCAGTAGGTCTGTGGCAAGACTGGGCATGCAAATCCAGACCAAGCCTATGAACGCAGAGGTGTTTGCACCCCTCTTCTTGCGCCAAGTATTTTGTTCCCCATGTGTCATGCATGCGTCATTACTAGATCTCACCAGAAATTGGTAGTAAAAATTTTCGATATAGCGAAGTCCTTGGTATAACCAACGATTTTCTTTACCCCAGTAATGGTAAAATAGATGGAAAAGAACCTCGAAATGACAAAAACTCGTTATATAGCGAACTAAGTTTGCCAGTCCCTTGGTTTTTTGTTGTATTGAGGTTCCATTGTATATGACTTGCATCGCACTTCTTAGCCTTAATCTTGTGTTTGCATTAGTATTCTTATTTGTTTACTCTCAAGTTTTTCTGTGTTTGATAATGTGCACTTTGCCCAAATGAATGCTTTCAAAGCATCTTGTACATGTCCTGCTAAACAAATTCATCAGCCACATTAAGTTAAATAAAGTTATAATCTTTATTTAACAGTAGCACCTTTATAATGCCCAAATTTTTGACAGTCTCAGCTCTCATGACCATGACATTGTGTAAACAAGGTCAAGTCAGATGGGGCTTGCTCTTATTCCAGCCTCCCTCCCCTCTCCTATAAAGGCTATCTTTGGGCTTTTCAATGGTATTTTTTAAAGTTTTGTTTTTTCATTAAGTGCCTCTGTTTTTGACTGAGTCAATCCCTTTTTGCAATGACAGCTGGATGAATATGACAGTGAACCTAACGTTTCTGCCCCTGATGAAAGTCTTGTTTTGAAACTTGTCAGGAAACTACGACCAAAGTTGGTAAGTCTAGTTTGTACATAAAATCTAACTTAGAAACTGCACAATTAGGATTGAAATAAGGCAAGGGAATAGCGGGAATACGTAAGAGAAAATATATGAGAACTGCTAAAATTGGGCCTGATCTCAGATCATGCAGTGTGCAAAAGCCTTTGTGCATTCAGCATCATCACCTACGATAATACCAGCATTGCTTATCAAAGATGTTCTCCAGAATTTATTGTTGTTTTTTTTTAACTCAGAATTTAACCATGTTTGGTGTCGACATAATTGTTGAAAAAGGAACAGGACATCATGTTGTCATAGATATCAACTATTTTCCTGGTAAGTGCAGTTGGTACATGTTAAGTACTGTTTAAGAAGCGAGCAGGAGTGTATCGCCGAGAGTTTTAAACCTGGTAGTACATGACTGCGAGTTTTTCGAATGGCTTCAAAATCTCTGGTATAGATCAACTCTGTCTTGCACTAATAATTCTAGATTCGCTTTATTTTGGTCTAAAAAATTGGTCGTAAAGTTTTAGCCGTGTCTTTATCAGATATTTAAGACACTCATAAAACATTAATTTTTTTGGTTGTTTCCTTTTTTAGTTATTAATGAGTTTTTGAATTTTTTTTTACCCTTCTGTAGTAACTGTTGGTTTCACTACTTAGATGTTCTTTTTCATGTCTTGGTCTACAGGCTATGAGGGTGCACCATCATTTCCGCTAGATTTCGCAAAATATGTACATGAATTACTGGACAAGTCACAGGAAAAGGAGAGGACATCTACAACTCCCATACTTTTAAGTTGACACCAATAAAGTTATTATTAATTTCATTCTGTTATTACTTATTGTTATGAAAAATAATTATAATAATAATGATGTGATAATGATGATGATAACAATATCCTTTCAAATTTACTAAGAGAGAGGAATAAAAAAGGCTTGAGGTACATTTTTACAGTAAGTCTCTATCTATTTAGTTTGCCACACAGCCGTTTTTAGTGTCGTAACGCAACGCAACGTGTTGAGTGACAACACTAAAAACGGCTTTGTAGCAGACTACTGGTACTATCTATTTAGTTAAGAAAAATTCTTTCGAACCCCTGAGAAAGTGGCCTTTATAGGGGTGAAGGATTGTAATGTGACGCTATTTTCATGGGAAAGAGTGGAACATTTCAATTTATTTTTAAAAATGCTTAATATAGCATATTTTAAAATACTTGGCAGAACCAAAATACAGTGGAACCTCGACATAACGAAGGTTTAAGGAACTCGGCAAAATGTGTTAGCTCTCATGACCCTCTATTTTGCTATTTACTTAGTGGGGCGAAAAATATCGTTCGTTGTAATGTATATGATCTTATATCGGCACTGTACTTAGGGCCCATTTCTTGAAAGGCCCGGAAACTTTTCGGGCTCGAAGGCAAGTTTTAGAGTCGAAACCCGCATAAACGAACAAATGGATTAAGAACACTCAGGCTGAAATTCGGTCAAAAAAGTACCATATACATAAGAACACATTCAACTTGAAAAATGAAAATTGTTCTTATATATAAAAAAAATTGGCAGCCAGTTAGATGACAATAACCTAGGATACAGTCAATAGTTACATGGAAAGGGGGAGGAAGGTGGAGCTGGTGCATTTTGAATTTGCTTGACTTTTGCTAAGTTTCGAGTTGCTTATCACCAGAACTGCTACCCCTCTCCCAATGTAATATTATCAGGGGCACCAATATGGACTTTTACCCTTAAAAGGTCACCTAGAATTTTCGGGAGCCTTTTCTCCGGCTGAGATTTTCGAAAAGTTACGTTTTGATCCCTATAATTTTTGCATCACTAGACTTTCAGCTAGGAAATCCGAACAGATGAAAAAATTTTACGGGATAAAAATATGCCCATATCTACCGTTTAAAAACCAAAGTACATTTAACAATGCTATGTTTAAGTGGTTTTGAACTATATTCTCGTTGGGCTGCCCTGATATTAGTGCCTTGATTAATGCAGTTACGGTTAGTTCCATCCGTTAATGAATTAAAATGTTGTGCTTGCACATTGATTTCATCTGTTGGTAGTCTATGCATCATTTAATTTTTAGAAACAATTGTAAGAAAACCTTAAGAACATTTTCAGGCTGATTTTGCAGAAAACACCCGATATATAAGAACAAAATCAGCCTGAATCCCCAAAACACATTTTCTTTTATGCGGGTTTTTACTGTACCGAGGAGTTCGTTATATAATGGTTCCACTGTTTGTCAATACTAACAGAAACCAAAAAAGTTTAAAACAAACTTGTCAACAAACAGAGTGGATTGATGTGTAAGGAGTTCTTCAGTTTGCATATCGTTCGCTTTTTGAAGGGGCAATGTCACGCTATATTTTAAAAAAAAGCTAAACCTATTTTCGTATCAACTATATTCCAAAAATAATAGTCCAGTTTTGTTATTTAAGACTGTAAGTCTGTTCGATTTACCGTATTAAAAAACTGCCTGAAGGAAAATATCCCGATCGATAAAAAGTTTAAATGGTACAATGTAGAAGGGAAAAATAAAAAATAAAAATATTGCGTATTCTTGTTCTTTCGCAACCGCTCGGGTCGGATTCACGCGAAGGAGATTAGTGCTATGCCTACAAGTCACCCCAAAATATTGTAGTACTCCTTGATGAACTTTTTTTTCGTTTGACATCTTCTTCATATTACGGCTCGACATGAGCATTTTGTGTGTGGATAGAGACACTTAGTAGTGATTTCTGCACAGAATTGACCTAAACCAGCAATATCTGCTTGACATTGCCTCTTTAAATCGCCGTCATGAAGAGCTTGTTTTAGCGGCTGGGACGCAATTCATATCAGTGAATGTTGCGTTTTGCAGGGTATTCATCCACTGGAGCGCTCCCCGAGCCTTCCATGAGGCGGGGCCGGGGTCGTTGCGCTTGTGAACAGGTTGTCATTTTTGAGAGACAGAGGCTTAAACAAGAATGAATTCTTAGGCTGTCCGTTAGGGCAGAAATGTGGCCATTGGGGAGAGGCCGTCGTACAGAGGTTTCCGTTTAGTAGCCTGTTCCAGGCTAGAGCGAAAACCGCGAGGGGGCTTGGGGGAGACCGAGAGCATAGCACAGGCTAGGTAACTAGACGTTTGCTGTATTCAGAAACACCAGTTAGATTTGGGAGCTTGATACAACATTTGTATTGTTTTACTATAAGGGCGCTTACCGGTATCATTAGTCAGAATGGGCTGGCCATAACAGTTCAGTTGTTAAGAAAATCTCCCTATTGATCAGGGCGCCGGTTGTTCAAACGTTGGATAGCGCTATCCAGCGGATAAATCAGTATCCGACGGATAAGTATTAAGGAAACCAATAAGAATTGCGCTATTCAGTAAGAAGAGATTTATCTGGTGGATAGCGTTATCCACCCTTTTGTACAACTGGGGCCTGGATTGTCCAGCCAGATCAGTCTGTAGTAAATAGTATGCATGTCAGTGATAGGTTTTTAGCAGACGCCCTCGCTTCTCTTTCATGTCGAAAATGATCTTTCCAGCCGGCCAGTTCTGATTATTGGTAAGCGCCGTAAGTTTCACCCATTCTAGTCTGGTGTCATTTACTTGTACGAAGACAAAAAAAAGTTTATTACTTTTGAATGTGAGATACTAAATAGATACTTTGAAATATGTTGACCAATTTTTATGGTGTGACCACAAGTAACCCAGGTAAAATTTCCAACTGCAACTCGCCCATACTATTTGCATTGTAACGACTTTCCGTTTCTTCATTAAATTCTTCTCCGGCTTGTCCATATCCGAAATATTGGGAAAACTCAAGTCGTTTTCGTCTTTGCTGTCTTGTACATTAATGCTTAGATTTTCGACTCCCATACCGTAAAATTCCGAAAATGAGCCCCGGGGCTTATATTTTTCAAAGGCCCTTTTTGAGGGGTTTATTTTTGGAGGGGTTATATTCGGAGAGAAATTTGCGTTTCAAAATCGGCTAGGCTTATACTGGGAGAGGAAATATGCGTCTCAAAATCCACTGGGCTAGCTTATAGTTGGAAGGAGATTTATGTTTTCTAAGCCCAGCCATGCAAGTACTTTGTCTATATGAAACGAGGAAATCCAAGCCAAGACTGAAGAGTGAACTACGCAAACAGAAATATACTGTGGCACTTTTTTTTGACTGCAATCCTTTGGCAAACGTAATAGTTCTTTGGCAAATTCAAAAGTTTATGTGTTACTGTACAGTTTTTACTTTGTCTTATTTTGAATTTGAGGGCAATTTCTGAGTACAAGCTCTTGGGGGCTTATACTTGGAGGGGCAATTTATCGGATTGTTTTTTTTTTTGCGTTACGAGTTTGGGGGGCTTATATTTGGAAAGGCTTACTGACATGGAGGGGCTTATTTTCGGAATTTTACGGTAATACGCTCTGTTTTTCCCCCAAGTTTTGCATAATTTATTGTTTTCAGATGCTGAACTTTGTTAGTTCAAAGAGAGAGAGAGAACTGTTTCTTTGAAATCATCTTTTCCCTGTGAATATGTACTCAAAATAAATAATACATACGGGTAAAATCACACGACATACATTGGGAAAACAAAAACTACAAGCTGAAGAGGGTCTGTATCATTGTTTACCCGAGCTACTACGCATATGAGGTGAAGCGCTGCGGCCGCCCTCTTTACCAGATCACGTGCGTCCCATTTTCCCTTACGTTTGCGACTTTGTCCATCAGATCGTGAGGTGATCATCTCTCTGTTCTGTTCTACAAGTCGCAGTCCAGGCTTAGCTACATAATTCCCAAAATATTGCCAAAAAATTATTTCCGCAATTTCCCGACTGAAAGCTCTAAAATTCTTTTCGAAATGTTCAAAATTCTCCAAAAAATCTTTGAAATTCTCAAAAATTCTAAAAAAATTTCGGCCTTTTTTTGATAGCGAGGGCGAGGACCCCTTTTGGTCAGGAGCCCATTACCCGGAGCGTTCTACTGCCATAAATTCGTGCAACGGCGTTTTTACAAGTGAGTATATTTTTAGATAAGCTTTTCCCGCGAAAAATAACTGTTCCACGAGGTCAATTCCTCAATTCGATCGTCGTTTAGACTGTTAGTAGCTCGCTTGAACCTTTTCACAGTCGGCTATTTCGAAGATGGTTTCGATTTAATTGCCCTTGCGTGAATTATGCGTTGTCGTCGATGAAGTAGACGTCCTGGCTAGGTTTTGCAAATCTTGATCTGAACTGCTAGTTTCCGTGTTAATACTGAAATTGTCGCTGGAAGTACTGTCAGAAGACTCCTTTGAGGATTCCTCACGTGCGTCCGCCATGTTTTTTTCAATGTGAAGGAGTTGTCCTAGTTACGTATTAAAAGTTTATCATTGATGACGCAATCATGCTAGTGATTGGCTTTTCGAAAGGAATAGACGGGAAAAGCCAATCTCAAAATAAACCTACTTGTGAAAACGCCGTTGCACAGTGGGCTCCTGTTTTGGTGAATAACCGCTGATAAGTTGTAGTGTAGACGACTCTGATGAAAAGCCGCTGATTTAATTTGTTGTGCTCAGGCAGACAGTGCTCTAGACACTGCTGTAGCATGTAATCGGACTGAGCCCTCTCCTAGTCAGTAGGAATACAACAAAAACCGTTTTGTCAACGTTTTTGCCGTGAAATATTGCCAAAATTTCGGGTGAATGTTCAAATTGCTCTAAAATTCTCGAACTTCTCGATTTTCCCCTAAAATTCCCGCGATTTTCTAAAATTCTTTTTGACGTCTAAAATTCTAAGAAAAATTCCGGAATTATGTAGCAAAGCCTATCGCAGTCATGGCTTTCGCGTGTTTGCGTTTGGTAAAACGGGTGAAAACACTGCGTTTTAGTTTGAAAAATCATCAGGAGTGGTGATGCTCGCGAACCCGTGCATGCATTGCACAGCTGTCAGCAGAGCCTTATAGACGCCTTTCACAGTGACGTCATCAAATTGTAAAGTCAAAATAGCGAAGTTTTAAGAATTCTTATTTACACTAGGTTGAAGATAAACAAAAAGTAAATATTTGTACAAGTTTTCATTCCCGTGGCGTGTTTTATTTCGAAAATACAGCAATTTGAACTTCCGCGTTTTCACAGTGCGGGACACCAAAATAAGAATGCTGTCTCGTTGAAAAAAAGCATCTCCTCTTGATTTTCAGCAGCATAACCATTCCAAGTATTAGAAGATATTTTCATTTGCTCGTATGCTAGTTCTCGAGTGAAAAGAAAGAGCTTTTATAAAAAAAGTGAACTCCAGACGTTTTTGTTGATTTTCGGCCGCCATATTGGTGCACCAAAACTGCGCACCAATCAGTGGCGTCTCCATACAAAGCTCTATAAAGGTGCGTGAAACGTTTCGGCAAATAACTCTGAAACTGTGGGCCACAAAGACCTGAGACTTGGACAAACTGTTTAAAAATTAGTCTTCTATAACATTTCATTTTCTTCGCTTCTTCCAGTGGAAGGTTTCCAATTTATTTTTTTGTTGTTGACAGTGAAAACGATCTATACTTTCAGCTGACGTTTCGCACGTACTGCGTGAATCGCGAAAACAGCGGGCCTGCTGGTGCTCGCAGACTCCTTTAATGGCAGGGCCAGCAGACTAAGAAGTGGGAAATCATTCACCTCGGGGGCCACATCACGGACACTCGACTCAAGGGGACTTCCTATTTTAGACTTTGAACACCAGTTTCGTTATATTCCGTAATCAATGGATCGTACCAAAAGTAAAAACCTTTTTATCAGATGATATCATAAAGATAAAAACAAGAAGTCATTAAAGAAATTTCGCCTAATATATTTTTATTTTGTGGCTCTTAGCGATGCCATGATTATTCTGTAAACTACTTATAACTTACCTTATTATTCAACCCATACGCTAAAAAAAGAGATCGGGAAAAAAACAGAAACAAAAAGCACCGGAAGTTGCGTGACACTCGTGAATTGTCACCCGTATTTTCAACCAATAAGCACGCTAAGTTAGACAATGGAAATCTAAAATTTGATTCGGAAGGAAAATATAAACGCAGTGACTCACCTCTGTTTTGCCATTCAAGCACGTATAAAAACAGTCGCACATAATATAGTCTTTGACAATGTCGTCCTTGGTTCACAACCATCTTCGAAGGAAACGAGTTGGCCTCGTCCTCACCAAGAAAAAAAGGCTAAAACCGCTTTTTGTTGCGTTTGTGAAATTGTGTCGGTACGTTTATAACCACCTCAATATGCATTTTAATAATATTCTCTCCGTAAACTGCATCGCGTATATATAAATGATGTATTACCTTTTAATGCTTTGTTTCTTTTCAGGGAGACTGGAATCGACTTAGTTGAGGTAAGAGTTTTTGTAAAACAAGGGAAGCGGATCGATCGAGCATTAATTTCGCTTTTGCTTTAATACTTACAAAGTGCAGGTAACGTTAAAATAGTTTGAAGGTAATTGCTCGGGAGATTGTTGTAAATAAAACCGCTACCATCATCCAACAAAGTAAACGTTAAGTTACATAGGGAAACTCTCTCACTCTTCATTCGATATTTTTTATTTACGTGATTATTTCGAAGCTTATATTGATCAACTCGCTGTTGATTTCATCAGAGCTCATGAGTAAAATTTATCGACCCTTGACGACGTCGAAATAAAGCAGCATGTTGTTTATGCAAATCGTATTGACGCACTTGATATTCGATTGGCATAATTTCCTTCCTGACAGAAATGCCCCCAGGTAGGGGGTCCAATACTTCACTAAAGTGTTGAAACACTTTGGCTTGTTCGATAGTATAACAGCAATTTTAAGTAAAGCTATATATCCGCAGTCTCATGGGTGTCTTCCAGGCAGGTTGAAAAAACTCCTGCCAGAGAAAGAAATACTTAAGTTAGTTGTAATTAAGTAGGGAACCTGAAGAGGTATGTCATTCATACCGAAGAGCGCTTACTTTCATAGAACTTTCGATGAAAAAAACTCCTTCAAGTGGAACTGGTATATTTACCGAAAATAGGAACGGGATTGAGATGTGTCATTTGCAAAATACCGATAAAGCTTTCGCTTTCTCTGGAGAGGAAGCATGGCATGGCACTGGTGTTAAATTCACACAATTCGGCCGTTCCGGTATTAAAATCGATGCCTCGGAAAAAATTACCTTTTTCCCGTGCAAAAAATTTTCACCAGAATGAACCCTTTCCACTTGAATTCGTACCGGAATTAGGAGTCGATCATTACCGGGCTTTCCATACAAAAGGTATTAAATTAAGCGCTCGAAGTTTCTAGCACACACCCGTCTGAAGAATGGACCGATTTGCCTGAGTGGGTCGTCGGTGAAGGCTCACAAGGGTTCTTTAAGATCGTTTTTAAAAATATTTTGTAGTAAAAAACAAAAATATTTCTTTTCTCTTAAATTATAAAGAATATTTTTAGATTTCTCTTCAGGGAGTTATTTACAGGGCCAACCTCTCCTACACTTTTGTAAATGCTTTCAAAAAGTTCTGTCTCAAAGAGTCTGTCGAAGTTTGTAAATGCAAATTTATTAGCCGTCTAAACGTGCAGGTTCAATTGCACGTGCATGATGTAAGCGGATCTCGTGGCGTTCTCCTGAGTGGATGTAAAGTTCATAACCTCGAAAGAACTTTGTAGGACTGTTTCACGTCAAGCCTGGAGTCAAGTAGTGTTTTATACCAATCAACTTTTCCCGCGTTTTTATAAACATGCTTTTGAAGTCACTCGAGGCATTTCGGTGGTTGCCTTCGTGCAAAGGAAATAGGAGAAGTCTGCACGCAGGCAATTTCGGTGGCGGATGCGGGAAGAGTCTTACGCCTTAAGTGGGTAGTTCAGATGATAGCTTTTCATAGTACATGTACTTGGCTTGCATCTGAAATTCCAAAGGATGGCATACACAATTAATCTGGTAGCTAAAAGATGAAACTTGCGCAACACTTTGCCTCTTTAATAATAACCACAAAATACGTTCAGTATTCAGTCATTAGACAGTTTAACCTTCACGTATACGGCAAACGGCAAACGGCAAACGACAGATTCAAGTTGAGAATTTGTTAAAATAGAAAATGAGCAGATAAAAACCAGCTCAGAAAATTCTTATGGATAACAAATTATGTGAAACTACAGTCGACTCTCTCTTAACGGACACCTCTATAAGACGGACACCTCTGTAAAACGGACACTTAGAGTTGGTCCCTGCCTTTCTTTGCTCCCTTTATTTGACTCTCTATAAGACGGACACCTAGTGCCGGTCCCAAAGGTGTCCGTCTTAGAGAGAGTTGACTGTACTCATCTGTGTGTGGAAATAATGGACAGTAGGCGACAAGCAAAGGGGAAACTTGGTCACGTGGTACAAATTCGCGTTTGCCGTTTGACGTAAACGTGATGCTCAGCCTCCCTATTGTTTTCTTTTCGTTCTCGCGGGAATGGTGAGATCACTCACAGTCTACACTGCAGTCAGAAAAGACACCGCATAGCTGAGAAAACGAATCAAGTAGAAATGGTCTTAGAAGCGGTCTCTGTTGGACTCACACTGCACTGCTATGAGGAAACCGTTTCTGAAGAAGAAGTTGGAATAGAATTCGAGATGTAGCTAGACTACAAGTAGTCCACCATTTTTCCTCAGGGATAGGAGAGCGCGCGAAACGCGAGCGCGCGTGAAAATCACCCCACGCGAGAAAAGGCGACACGCGGCGTGGGGTGATTTTCACACGCGTTCGCGTTTCGCTCGCTCTACTATCCCTGAGGAGAAATGGGGGACTACTCGTAGTCTACAATGCAGCTTGAACCTGCAGCACTTTCATTGACCCCACGCCGATTAGTAAAAGGGTTTTTCTTTGCTTTTTACTTATTATCTGTAATGTCTGATTTGTAATACAATTAATTTGGTTCGCTCGCTACGACTAGCGTTTTTGGCTAACTGCGTGCCAAGCAATATTATGATAATAAATGTCTTGTCTTGTCTTGACTTTTACCACATTTCATACAAACAAACGTGATACTGCCAGCGTTGTGGGATCCAAAGAAACTCCTGTGTTGCCTTATTTATCATAACTACAAAAAAATTGTCAAATCTGATTGGCTATCAACTGCGCTGATTTCAGCCTTAATTGGACAGTTTAATAGGACAGTACGCGCCATCACGCGCGCGCTTAATAAATGGCTTTTTTGTCACTGCTAGCAAAACAAAATTTTGAATTTCTTATGTTTTGATTTAAAAAATAGCCTATTATATGACAAATTTTGTTAAAGTTATGATTAATTGGTAACAGAACTTTGTGTCGTCCAATTCGGTCTGTAATCATACTCATGATTAAACAAATCGGACTCCCGCTACGCGGTCGTCCGATTTTGTTAATCACTCGTATGATTACAGACCGAATTGGACTCCACTCAGTCCTGTTACCATTACTTATCATTCAATTAATAAAATTATAATATATTTTAATAAATGCAAATAATACAATAGACATTTTTGTAACGTTTTACGAAACGCAACATGAAAAATGCATCACATATTTCGGTTTTATCAGGTTGAGTTAGACATACCGCTTGAGGAACAAGGTCCATTTGATCTGATAATACAGAAGGTACCAGATTACCTGGGCAAGGCGGTTGGAAAAGAGCTGGGCAAAGACGAGGCTTTGCAAATGTTGCAAGGAATCAAGGTCAGTAAGGGATGGTCAGTTAGAAAAGTTATTGGGGGGGGGGGAGGTGCGGAATTCCAAAGCCCGTGAGTTTTCTAATGGTCCATCCCTAATCTACAGCTATAACTCCCAGTTAGAGCTGGTGAAAGGAATCTTCGCACATTGTGTAATCAACAGGGTCCGTATGGACGACATTAAAGCACTGTGGGCGAAAATTTAATGAGTGGAAAATATTTTAGTGGGGGTGGGGGGGAGGGAGGTGGGCTAAGCACGTAGGGGATAGGGAGGAATTGAAAAAAGGAAGGGGTTGGGATTGAGATTCCCTTTCGCGCTTTTCTCCTTCCCCTCTCCCCCTCCCCTTTTTGCGCCTGCCACGCAGGCTAAGAGAGGCTCGGATTTCAACCGTATGGCCTGACCATACTGATCATACTAGCTGTGATTGAAACCCGGGGACCGACCATTTCTCGATGGTTTTAACGCCCTTTTGGGCCCAGACAACTACTTTATGGGTGCAGTGATGTGAATGAATAAATAAATGAATGTTAAAAAGGCGTTAAACTCTATGGCAGCGTTAAAATTTGGTACCCACGCACAGTGCCCGACCACGGTACTCGCTGGAGACTGATATGAGCACACCCTTTTGTCAAGTACCCTTTTGCCACCCTTTTGCCAATAGTGGGCACCGGGTCCCTGTGTGTACACCGTTTTTGTCCGGTGTGGGGCAGCCATTGCTTTGTACTCGCCATTAAGCTCATGGTGTTTCAAAATGGCATCTGACAGGGCGAAATACAGTAACTATGTACAGAGTCACATATCGGGTACTCAAGGTGTGAACATAGCACTATTTTGTGCCAGGACCCAGGCACTGGTTCTCGGGCACACAGTGTGGACAGCCCCTAAGGCTCTGTGGACATTTGGTTCCCGGGCAAGGTGCCTGACTGACGGTACTCGCTGGGCGCTGATGTGTACACACCTTTTTTTTTCATGAATTCGGGTACAGTGATTCGTATTTTTCAAGTGACTTTTTTCTACCCTCGTCGGCCTCATGGCTGCATAAGGACCCTAATACATACAGAGTGGACAAGCGTGTAGCCTGCGATCATGCCTGTATCTCCATCTCTTCATCCCCTTCCGAAAAAAAGACAATAAAATAAATAAATTAAATAGTAGCGCCTATTTGCTAGCCTGCGTAGCAGGCGCTTGGAAGTAGTGGGTGCAAGAAAGAGCGAGCACGCGAGAGGGAGACACGCGCGCCCGCTTTTTCTTAGGCCTGCTACGTAGGCTACCTATTTGCAGGGTTTCAGCGCACAGCAGACGTCTCTTAATTCCATTTTTCAATGAAATATGATAGATATGACCCACAGACTAAGGCTGTGTTCACTTTTTACCGGATAGCTTCACGTGCCGACACGAAGAGCTATAGTATAGTGTGAACACCTATCCGATATGTGACTTCACTTTAGAGAACAGCGTGGCGCAGCATCGCTGCGTTACAGAAATCGCGCTGAAATCATCGTTATTATGCGTGAACAGAAGCCCTATCCGGTATGGTTTTCGTGCCGACACGAAGAGCTATCCGGTATAGTGAACATCTGATCCGATATGTGACGCTTCACTTTAGAGAAAGCGTGGCGCAGCATCGCTGCGTTACAGAAATCGCGCTGAAATCATCGTTATTATGCGTGAACAGAAGCCCTATCTGGTATGGTTTTCGTGCCGGCGCAAAAGCTATCCTGTATAGTGTGAACACCTATCCGATATGTGACTTCACTTTAGAGAAAGCGCGGCGCAGCATCGCTGCGTTACAGAAATCGCGCTGAAATCATCGTTATTATGCGTGAACAGAAGCTCTATCTGGTATGGTTTTCGTGCCGACGAAAAAGCTATCCGGTATAGTGCGAACATAGCCTAACACTTGAGTTGTTCTTTTATTCGTCTGAAAGTTGCGCCGCTCACATGATGAACTTTTCTTTTTCATCAGCTCTATGCTAAAGATCACCCCGGAGTTATCCTGCTTGATCCACTGGAGCCAGTTTGTAATTTGCTTGACAGAACAAGAAGTTACCAGGTCATGAAAGAATGTGCAATTACTTCAGAGAAAGGTAACGTTTGAATTAGTCTGCAAGCAAGCTCTTCATTTGGGGGAGACGCGAGAAGTCACGCGAGAACAACACGCAAAAGGAGGCGCTCGCCATAATAGACCTCTTAAGGTTGTATGTTTTGTTCCCAATGTAGATCATGTGATAATAGTAAAGAGAACTGTCTCCTTCAATTTTCGAATTATTCCCGGCATATGTACGCATAATTTCTGAAAGGAGAAAGTGTCAAATTCCCCTGAGACCTGTTTTAGGAAAACAAAACGTACAAGCTAAAGAGGTCTATTGGAGAGCTTGTTCGCAGCCTCGCACGCTACATTTGAATGTAACTTTAACTTTGTCATACGCAATTAAACACAAAAAATGTTAACTTTTGTAAGGATCTGATTTAAATCTCCCGCCTTAAATATATTTAATGCTCAAAACGTAAAAAACTACCTTCACTTTGCCGGATGTAAATCACTTGTTTTTCTTAATATTCTCAGCCCTCAAGGATTTTGTTTTCATACTGCTTTCTGTTTTTATGTGTTTCCTGACTAACCGGGAAACTTAAGCTCAAGCTAATGCGTCATTATTTTCTTAACTTCCTTACTTTGTTGTCGGTTATCTTCCCTGAGTTATTTTTCTTATGTCTGTTTATACTTTCCCTCCTCATTTATTTTATTTTAGGGATAAGGGCGGTGGTGCCTAATTTTGTACAAATTGACGTGTTGGATATTAAAGAAAACTTGATGAAAATAGAGAAAGCAGGTGTTTCGTTTCCAATGAGTAAGTTGACGTTAGTTCGGTGTTGTAAGTTATTATTCTCTTTATTCTATATTCCTGATAACGATTATGACAAAGATTTAATGTAAAGGTTCTATCGCTATCTAAATGTTTTTAAGCAAATACAAAGGGAGTTCATGTTAATAACCTTATAGTTCATGTTAGTTTTGATTTTCTCCAGTTGTCTTGTCAAAAAAACTTATAAACGTGCGATTTTTGGAGCAATAAAGAGAGTACAGTAAAGTTTTTTCCGCTTGCGGGTCACATGACATTCTCGTCCTGTTGTCCACCTACGAACTCTCGCAAAACAATACTTTAACATAAAAGATAACCTGCGTAGCATGCGCTATTAAACAATTTTTCCTTGAGCCCGAATGGGCTCTGAGTCAATGGCCCTTGAGGCCGAAGGCCGAATGGACCATTGACTCAGAGGACATGAGGGCGAGAGGAGTAATTGTTTTAGTAAAATTTAACTAGTTGGTCAAAAATGTAGAGACAAAACAACTTTATCTAGTTAAAGCTAGACTTTAATCCTTTTTTGCCGCCAAAAAGCCGGCGCTTTCCGCTACTAGTGGGCTATAACATATAGCCTAGTAGTAGCTCAACCAATCAGAACGCGGCATTGATAATAGACCACTAGTTGGATTTTTCTAAAAAGCAATATGGGCTCAAAAATGAACGGGGCGCGCACGGGGAGACACGCCAGGGGCTCTCTCCTCGTGTGCCTTCCTCGTGCGCCCCGTTCTTTTTTGCACCCATATTATTTTTTATCTGTCTGCTACATAAAACACCTTGGTCAGGGATCGAACAGCTGTATAAAATTACTTAGCAGATAACTAGTGTAAATGGACCGTGAGGTTCACTCAGGCGCGACATAGCGGCCGGAAGGACTGAGTGGGGAGTTTTTCGTAGAGAGGTCACCTGATTGGAAAAGAGAAATAAAGGACTTTGGACCGGAAGGTCCAACGTACCTCCCCGCTGGAAGAGGAGCGTTGGTTGACGACACTAAAAACGGTTGCTATGGAGACAAGAAGTCCCAGTAATCGAAAACCAGTTTTATAGTAAGCCTTATTATCAATTGGTCTGTACGTTGGTTTACTTTATATTGCTTATTTCAGTTTCTAAGCCAGTGATTGCTGATGGATCTGATGTATCTCATAAGGTTAGTCGTATTCCCTGACTCTATTTCAGTTCCTGCGGGGTAGTCTCGTTGCCCAGGACTCTTGTCCAGCTCTGATCTCTGATCTCTGATCTGCAGAGGCCACTTGGTGTCATACGGGTAGGCTGGGGAGAGGGAAAATGAAATGAAAGCGCGAGGTGAACAATTTATCATAATCCACCGCCTGTTTTCGTCGTAGGAATTACAGTAATACTGCTATTTGTAATTACAGTTACGATTATTATAGCGTTTAAGTGGCACAAAAAGCACGGTACAAGAGATTTGCAACAAAACTTTTGCGTATTCCTATTCCGGAATACGATCAATCGAAGTAAGCTTTCTCGTACGGAATCGCTCGCTACGCGGGATTCTTTGGCTCCTAACTACTTTTTTTTTGTAACATGGATAGATTATTCGAGCTACTTATTGTCATTTCAGATGGCGGTCATATTTAACAAAGAAGGGCTGAAGGATTTAATGCCGCCATGCGTTATTCAACAGTTTGTCAACCACGACGCAAGACTGTTCAAGGTTGGCCAGTTTTAAATATATCTGACCTACTTATAATTTTGTCATTTCTTATATAAGAGTGCTAACTCTTCCAAGGACCATGATATCATGCCTTCGGTAATATTTACGTTCAACATTAGATTGGTTTACATTGAGTATTTTCCGGGTGGGATAAGATGCTTTGTATCGGGAAAATGGGTAAAACTGCGTGTGTGACCGCTTCTTCCCGAGATATTTTAACTCGCGTTTCTGAGTCACCCTATAAAACATCCAATCATGCAGAAGAGTGGTTATAAAATTATCTCGCGCAAAAGGTGTACCGCCGCGGCGTGGCCCACGGTAAACGGAAATCTTGAGTGCCGCCTTTATATCGGGATCTAAAACAGTACAAATAATGCCGATAATGTAACGCGAGAAAAGTACCATGGAACATTGCTTCTCTCACGGGGTGACGACCACTACTGTAAAGTAATTTAGTTTGTTGATAAAATCATCTAATATTTGTAATTTTCGTCCGCCATACAGGTTTATGTGGCAGGTAATCATCGGTATATTGTTCAACGGCCATCAATAAAAAACTTCTACAACACTGGTGGTACGTGCATGTGACACATTTTAATTAGGAATTAAGATTAAAATCATAATTCATAATATTGAGAATATTACGAGAAATTTATATCGAAATTAATATATAATTCCGATTCCGCGTAGTTCCCTTCGGGCGGGAGAAGTTTGGAAAATACTAATTGCAGAGAATTGATTGTTTGACTTGTATTCCTTATTCTTGTGAGCATTGACTGATTTTGAATCGATTGGAAAAGGACCATAAGTTTTATGTTTCTCATAACTACAAATCCCGCTCTATTATTGGTCAGAACAAGTATATTTCCTATTTCTATAGCACGCGCCTGACGTCATCATGCACTTTCTTTTTCAAAACCATGACGTCACCAGCAAGAGTAGTATGTGCCCACGTCGTGAGAGAATAAACGAAGCACTTGTTTTTCGTGAACTTCTTGAGTTGTATAGTCCCTTGGCAATTTGCCGAGAACAAAAGTTGACTTCCATCTTAATTTGACGTCTTTGTCTTGCGTAGAAATTTCTCCTTACAGAATGCAACAGTTGTCATAACGCTCAAATTACCGCGTTAAAAGATGATTTGTTGTGTGACAGGACGCCGCAGACTTTGCTGTTTTTGTTGAGCGACAAATCGCGCGATCGTCCTTATAAACAGCCCTTAATTTTGGCTAGTTCGTGCGCTATATAAGGTCAACTCGTAGAGCTTGGGCTACCTGAGCTCAAATGATACCGTTTAAAAGTCTTTTTCTGTTTGTTTTTACAGCCAAGGATAGGGAAACAATATTCTTTTTATCGAACGAAATGTCGAAATCTTATTCAGCCTCCTATCTTCACAAGGTAAGCCTAGTGCAATTGAATTGTTTTGTTAACTCTGTTAGAAAAAGGTAGTGATCAGCGCTTGGTATGCATACCTTCTCTCGATGCCGTCATCCTCGTCTTCATCATTGTTTTTTTTTGCGTTTAGATTTTCTTCTTTTCTTTCTCTTTTGTAGACTTTTACTCTATTATTTTGTTGTCCAGGCTTATCTGTCTTTCTTCTCTTTGTTCTTTGTTCACTTGTTTTTCGTTTTACCATTTTGCCATCTCTCTTCCCTTCTGTTCTCTTCCTCTTTTTCCTACTATACTTGTCCTTACTTAGTCAGATCGAGTTTCGCTAGTAGTACATCGGCCGACAATGCGTCCTTCCAGTAGGTAGCAACCAACCTCGTTCCCAGGGTTCTCTCCTATTCCGGCGTCCTTACGAGTAGAAGAGAACCCTGGGAACGATGTTACATGGGTAGCAACAAGTGTACTGGTAGTAGGCTAGAGCTCCTGCTGAATTGCGACCTTTCAACTGGGGGTTAGTAGTTTGCAATATAATCTTTGTACAGATTGTTGGTAGAGGAAATATGAGTAAAATACGGCTCGTGCTTTGGAATTAGCTCACCCACACGTGGGTTCGGAAAACTTTTTCTAGCTGATGATAGAATGGAAAAACAACGTGCAATTGTCTATCGCCATTATTTTCTCATTGAATAAACCTTTTCAGTTAAACCTAAATGCTGTTTATGTAAAGCAAATGTTAGTTTTTTTTCGAAGCGTAACTTTTCAACTTGGTTTGTTTAATAGTTAGATGAAGATGACGATGAAGACAGCTCTGTATATCCTGATGACAAACTTGTGTCGGACCTTTTAGATAAACTAGAACGAAAACTGGTAAGGTCACTGAATTGTTTGTGAGCATACACGTCTTCTTGAAAAGAATCCAATGTCTTAAAAAGGTGCGCGAGATGATGAAGGTTACAGGGATACCACCTTTTCACTATAGCGGAGAAAACGTTTCTACAAGCAAATGACAAATTAACGTGCCGTATTCATTTTTAGGCCCAGTTTATAAATCGCACTTCTGTCGTCCGAACTTAATTGTTGAATTAAGTTTGACAAAAGTACGGCAGAGGCACGATGTCTGAAGAAAAATTTTGACTTTGGTTTGGCAGAGCAAAGTTCGCGGACAAGCTCTGCTGCACGACTGATGCTACACGACTCTGGCACGGCAGTGATTCAAACGCCGTGCTTGTTAAGTGTGTCGAACTAAATTCATAAATTTTGGAAACTGTATTTTCTCGGGATTTGTGATCATGATTTTGTTTCGGTTACCACTGACTTGATACTACTTACACGGAAATGGAGTTCGACTCTGGCTCGACGTCTGAATTCATGCTTTTGTCACGCTTCTGTACGTATAACCCAGTTATCATTAAGTTCGGCACGTAGCCTGCGTAGCAAGCGTTTCCGCGCGAGTTCGTCGAGATAGTTGGGACAAGAGCCAAAAAAAAAAAATGAATGACCTCCACTCTAACTTTCGCACAATAACTCGATTGGAAACGCTTGCAACGCAGGCTATTCGGCACGGTATGCAGAAGCAGGATTTATGGAACTGTATTTAGTGTCTAAGAGTGCAAATGTGATGGCATCCAGATCTGAGAGCATTTAGTGTCTGGAAATTAGAGCGTAACATTTTTTATTTTTCTTTTTAAATCAGAATTTGACATTGTTTGGTATCGACTTGATCGTTGAAAAAGGAACAGGGCATCATCTTGTAGTCGACATCAATTATTTCCCTGGTAAGAGAAATTTTTGTGTCTTAAATGCACGGAAATAAAAGATAATAATGATCATGAATAATCAAAGATTTAGATGATAATGGAAATTTTCTTTATGTTTTTGAATGTACAGTTGTAAATTTCGCTACGTATAGGCAATTTACAAATGCTGCCTGAGACTGCATTATTCAAAAAAAAAAAAGGAAAAGAAGAAGAAAAAATCAAAATTGCATTAAGTCTGGGCTATCCCTATTCCTGTTTCTACAACAAAAGATGTAATATGTTGCTCTAATGGCTATATTTATCATTTTCTTGATTACATAAAGTTGCTGCTTTTTGTTAATGCCAATGTCATTCATCATGTCTAAGAACGTGGAGCATTCGTGGGAGAAAACGCCAAGGGAGCTCAAGGAGAGATTTACAAATTTCACACTTCTGTAATTTCTACTCATTTCTTTGATCAACTTCAGATATTTTTCTTTTTTAGGCACTGCATTGTTATTAAGGTTAGACTTGAAAGCAAGGACTTGGACTGGATAATAATAACGATAATAATAATAATAATAATAATAACAATAATAATAATATAATTATCATCATTATTATCACCACCACCCCCACCACCACCACCACTACCATCATCATCATCATCATCACCAACATCATCATCGTTATCACCATTTTCATTATCATTAGCAGCGCTTCGATGTGAAAACTGACTGTTATTAATCATTTATCTTTGGTTCGATGTTTAGGCTACGATGGTGTGCCCTCCGCTCCGGAAAAAATCACAAAGTATGTGCACGAGTTGCTCGACGAATCCTTCAAAAGAGAACAACTGGAAGTTCAAAGAGCCTTTTGACATCTTAGAGGAGGCATTATAAAAGCTAAATCTCGAAAAATGTCTTCACCAAGCAAATGAACGAAACAATAGCCGTGCATCTACATCGCATCCATGTGTGGCTACTTCAGGGAGTGTGCAGCAATAAAACTCCACATTAGGTTCTTAAGCAGTCATCTTGTTCCACAGCTTAGCGGCGGAGGTGAAGACTACGTCTAAACGTTGTTTGACGTCAAGAATTCGCTCACATGGAAACTATCGCCTGTTCCACAGTTCCATACATTTGGGCGCTTGAAAGTTTATCAATCGTCTTTGCTAGGACAAGCTATACCCTATTATTTCTTTATCGAGTGATCTTTACCCTTCACTTGTGAGACCTCTGGCTAGCAAGAGACAAAACTTTCTAAATCAACGGTGAATCTTGTGTTTTCTCTTGAGAGTGACTGAGTTATCTATCAGCTTTCTCTCATAACAGGGCAGTCACCTGGATTTGCCGCTGCCACAACTTTTGAGAAGGCGGATAATTTAACAGTGAGGAAGTTCTTTTCTTTATATTTTTCCTTTCGTTTCCTATCAAAGTCGCTTGGAGTCATGCTAATACATATGGAAGCCGAGGGAAACCTCGGCCCGCGGCACTTAGTCAGACTTAGTGGCAGCCCTGTTAAATTCTTCTCCCTCTTTTTAAATTTCTAACTTACGTTAGTGTAAATGTTAATTATTTAATACAAAATTTATATTTGATATAAATATGGACGGTTCATTAAATATACAATTTTGGAGTCATTACATTGTTGGAGAGTAATGATCACCTCATTTCTAGCTTTAATAAAAGGTAAAAATTTCTTTTCGTATTTTTTGGTATATAACATGTTTTTACCTATTAAAACTAGTTTTTCCTGTGATGTTTGATCGTGAGTTTTTTGCGAAGGTTAATAAAATTTATACCAACCCGAAATATATTTAAGAGTTACTGTTAAGGGGAAAGAGCCCTTGAATAAGTCGATGTCATCTTTGATTTTATTGCTTCTCGTTGTTTGAAAAAGCAAGGCAACCGTTTTGTGACTTTTTTTCCAAGGATTTATATTATCGTGGTTTATTTATGGATAAGCTAGCTTCACAGGGAGTGAATACGACAAAAGTACGAGCAAGATACTCCTTACACAATAGTAAGTTTAAAAAAGCTAGCCTAAATAACGAGAGTTTATTTAATTTTTAAGTATGTTTTAAATAATAAAAACCAACTTGAATCTTGGAGTCAGACAGTCCTTCTTTAAGAACAACGTTACTGTACGTAGTCATGCTAAACTACACACTAGTTAAAAAATATCCCTGTGCCTGACGGAAAGTCCCGGCAGGGGACACTCCCTAAAATTGCCTACACGGGAAGGCTCCGCCCGAAAGGGGTACGTTTTTCGGGCTTCAGGCATATCACAGGGTTAGGGGTATTTTAGATTTTTTTGCGAAAAAAGGCGTGGCCCTCCCACTTCCTGGAATGGATTAATGCATGACCCTTCAGAAATATCCAAACAAAAACATCTGACCCTCCCCCCACCTATCTAAGACAAAGTTACCGGAAGTGAAAATAACAAACTGGAAGTGTTACTCATATAACCACGTTCATCTGCGCACAAAGTAGTTAATTGCGTGGCGTGTGATTGTACGGTGAAAACTTCAAAATGGGAAAGGATGTACGAGGAATAGAAGGAAGGAAATGTGCTTGTGGTGAATGCGAGGATTTCATGAGGTCAGATGGAGCAACTTGTGGCTATTGTGGCTGTTTGACGACTCGCCATTCTAAAAAGGATGCCCGCTACTTCTCTTACTCTGTTAGTGGCACATCGGCTGCGGGAACAAGTGAAAGCGCAAGTCCAGAGAAGTGGAAAGATGGAAGACCTAGGGTGGTTCCTGAAGTTGTCGGTTCAAACCCGAGAAGCTTAAGTGAAGGATCCTCACTGGAGACTGATTTTATACCAGAACCCTGCGCGGAAACATCAAAATATGGGCGAAAGCGGACACGGGTCGAGACAGACAATTATGTTAGTTGGGAGAAGATAGTTTTGTGATATAAATAATTTAGATTAATCTTGACTGGTAGCTTTGCTTGTATATACAAAATAGATGCGACATCGAGTAAATTTTTACCTTGCCAAAAAAAACTGTGACCCTCCCCCGGTTGAGAATAAAACAGGTTTGACCCCGGCCCCAATTTGTGAAAAAATTACTAGGGACCCTGCCCTCCGAAGCCCCCCCCCCCCCCCCCCCCACACCCCAACCCCCCCCACACAAAACAAAAAAACCACGGATGAAAGAAGAAAGGAAAAAAAAAAAAAAAAAAAATATTAAATAACAAAGAAAAAAAAAGAAAAAAAGAGAAAAAGCACGACGAAAAAAAAACAACCACCACACCCGACACCACTCCCCCCCCCCCAATAAAAAACGTACCTTCCCATAAATAGGGAAATCGTGAGTTGAAGTAGATGAAAAGGTAGAAAAATATATCACTCTTGATTGAAATGTTGAGAAAAGACGAGCCTTATGGCTATATCCTTTTAATTTATTAATTAGAACTCGAAAATGACAACAAAACTTCCTGCTTCGTTCGACGATTTATTCCTATTAAGTAGGTATGTTAAAGGGGTAAAATTTTACAATGGAAGGTACACGAAAGCGGTACCTTTTTGATCAAAAATAGTATATAAAAAAGGGGTTGGTCCTCGGGCGGAGCCTGTCCGTATGAAGGTGATGTTACATGTACGAGACGATTGGCAACGACGATTTTTAGCGCAAAACGGCGTTGCAACATTGTTTCGAATGATTACAACATTGTTCCAACATTGCAGCGCTGTATTGTGCTAAAAATCGTCGTTGCGAATCGTCCCGTTTAACACCACGTTTCGAATCGTCTCTTGTCACATCACCTTAAAACTTTGACCTCGACCACACGAATCCGGACATTTTTGAAACCGCATATTTTTCAATCTGGATTAGTGTGGATGCGGCCATAAACCACTCTGAAGCGGTTTCAAAAAGATGTGGTTTCCGTGTCAGACTCACTGACTTGGTGTGCACGGAAGGCCGTATTCGTGTAAAAATATAGGCCGTTTACATGTAAAAGATATTCGGATTTGTGTGAACTGGGCCTTTGTTGAGTAGCCTCCCAAGCTGCGAGAAAAATTCGCCACAGGTAACGCAGGCTCTGTGATAGTACCACAGTACGATTCCAGTAAACTTACACTGTTTGTATGGGGTAAAAATACGATCCTAAAATTTGTAGGAAATACTGAATAAAAGTCAATGGAAGTTACTCTGCAGTTCTTAATGCTCAAACGAAGTTTCATGATAATTTGTTCAAACTTCATCCTCCATAAAATATGACCCCGTCTTTGTTTCTACCACTGGATTGGGTTAACTTTTGATTTGTTGGCTAGACTGGGAGCAGTCTCTCTTTTTCTTCAGATTTAGTGAAGGGGAGTGCGGCGTCAACGCTAGAGACGAGACGGCAGCAAAGCAAACTCTAAGGCCACGTTTCACGTGCTTGTCCTTTCAACACTTAAGTTTTTACGCCAAAAATCACTAGACCGTGAAAGACCATTTTTTCTGGCTTTGCAGGTAGTCTCTCTTTTTTCGTGCCTTTCCCGTTTCGCGCCTTCAGCAACGCGTGTGGTCATTGGCGTGTCGCGCACGTTTTGCTCGACGGACCAAGAAGAAAGAGAGACTAATCGTAGTCTATTAGTTGGCTGATTCAATAAACGAACGGGTTATCAGCAAGTACAGCCAGAAGCAGGATTGTTGTTGGAGTAAGGATAGACTGTAAAGATCAAAATGATAGAACTGAGGCGCAGCAACACAGAATATTAGGGAGCTTAAGGTGATGTTACACGAGACGGTTCGCAACTACGATTTTTAGCGCAACACAGCGCTGCAACATTGTTGCGACATTGTTTCGAATAGGTACAACATTGTTCTAACACTGCAACGCTGTGTAGCGCTAGAAATCGTCGTTGCGAATCGTCTTGTGTAACTTCACCTTCAAGGAACCACGACGGTAACGGGAGTAAAAACATCACTTGAAAAGCAAATTCGCGCTGTTCCAAACTTTCTCGCGCTTATGCCATCTGGTTTATTCGTCAATGTTGGCAAATGTTTCTGGAGTTGAATTCTAAAAGACTGTATGGGCTAAGTTGAGAGAAATTAAAAAGAAAATTGTCGCTATTAGCAAGTGTAACCAAGATTATTGGCTGGAGGCGGAAGATCAAGCACTCCAGCAAACTGTTCAGCATCAATGTCACTGTCAACAGACGCAGAAGCACCCGATGCTTGGCTGTTCTCAAGTTCAGAACCAGCAGAGTGAAAGTCATCAGTGTAGTTCCCATTACTATCTTCTCTTTGATCTTTGCTTTCACCTGATGAGGATCGTCTTTCTAACGGTCGCGCTTGATCCACCGCTATGTCCAACTCTTCTTCTGACTGAATGGTAATCTTTCGTTCCAGCCTCTCGGATACCTCAATCCTCGTTTTCCGTCTCCTTGATTTAGTTTTGACAGGAGATTTGGAAGATTTAACAGGCTTTTCTGATGAAAAAGAGCTACTTTGCGGGTGCCCGCTTCCCGATGAATCATGATGATCAGAACTGTGTTTCAAGTTTTCGTGATCTGCGCTACTACTTCTTGTGAAATCTAAATGAAGTGACCTCTGTGATCCCGGCTCCTGGTCTGATTCCTCAAAGTCCTCAGTATACATAGTCATAGCAGATCCCCCTCCTCTGTTGTCATACTCTGCGCTTACTATGCCTGTATGGCCGTATAATCCACTAACAGGGGGGTGATCTGTACTCCATTCACCTTCCTGATCACTCTTCTCTTCAGGCTCTGCTACTGCAAGATCATGAAACAGGGTTCATACAAAAAATTGCAACTATTTTTCAAGGAGCTTTCAAGGACCACCAACTAGTAATTTATTTTCACAGATTGCACATAAATGCACATTCCCAGTCTATTCTAATAAGGCTCTAAGGCTTGATTTAGCCAGGGAATTAAACACAGCTGTGTAGTTCTTTGGGTTTCACATTTCTTTTCTTTCCCATAGCGGAGGCTTATACTCTTAGCAGCTGGGGAAAATCCCTGACCCTCAACCATAAGTGACAGCCCGGCTATTGTCCCCAAAACATTCTGATAGCAGGGCTGTCACTAGGATTTCAAGTTTTTGGGTATAAAGGTCCTCCTATGTGATTAAATCCGCAAAGTCAGTTAGACAATATGCCTACTGAATATGAGTTTTTGAAGGTTTGTTACTATGAAATAGCAAGCCAAAGCTCAAAATTCAAAATCTGATGCATCTAACCTCACACATGCCAATAAAGTTAGTCTTTCTAATATATACACACAATCTCCTAGTCAACCTTCACAAAGTGATAAGTAGAAATGACAAACCTAACTAAGGAAAAACTGGCAACAATTTACCCAGGTGGTTAGGAATAGCCAGTAATAAGCCAGAAAGAAAAACAGTTAAAAACGAGCTAAAGACCTTCATGAGCAATATACTTCAACCGGAAGTGGACTTCTTGCATTCTAAGGCAATGCTTTCGCCTAAATTTTTTGGGCAAATCATCTGTTAAAGACACTTACAAGACAATTTGGTAGCTTCAAGGCATAATAAAAGAGAAAGGCCTCACTTCCAGTTGATACGCATGCCTCAAAAACGCTGTTGCTTAACCCTTTAAGCCCCAATATCCACATACAAATTCTCCAAACTGATCTCCATAGATTTTCTTAAGAATTACTCGAGAGAATTTGATAAAAGATCATGGCATTTTCCTTTTGGTGATCATTTTATTAATTCTCATAACTTTATCTCTTGACAATGTATGGGTATTATTAGGAGAAAATTGTTTTTGGTCGCTATTAGCACTTAAAGGGTTAAGCTATCTACTATTGGCTTGAGGCCTACTGGTCTTTACAAAAGCCTGCTAAAGTAAAAAAAAATACAAAAATGGTACACATACCTTCAACTTGTGGAATAAAAACCTCCACACTGTTTGGAGTCTTACTTCTCTCCTCACTCTCAACTAACTCAACAGCTGGCTTTTCTCTGTTCTCTCTCATATCTTCTGAACTGGGTTGAGCCATTTCCACCTTGTGCAGTCCTTGCTCAGAAGAATATTCCTGAGTTTGAATTTGCGCATCTGCCATCTGTTTTGGCCTTCCTCCTAAAAGCTTCCTTCCTGAGCCTATTTTGTAAGTCATCCCTAAAGCACCTTCACCAAAAGTTTCTTGCAATAAAGTTCTCTTGTTTTCCTTTTGAGCTAAAGCTGCTGCATGAGCCTCACAGGGTCTTCTTCTGTTTGTTAATTTGTCCTTCTGATTCATTTCAAGCCTCATCTGTTGTGTTTTTGTCATTCCGTAAGTAAGATTTGTTTGCTTGAAGCGCACTCTTCGCTTGGGCAAACCGATCACTGAGGTTTGATTACTCTTAGGATGAGAGACATGCTGTGATGACTTCATATGCACAGCATTGTTTTCTGAAGTGAGAGGTTTTCTTACACCTCTAGCTTTTTCTTTGCTGCTGTATTTCTGTGGATGCCTAGGTGTAGTTTGAGTCTGAATTCTAGAAGAACTGGGTTGGGTAGTAGTATCAGTTTGATGTCCCCCAGTCAAGCTCGACAACTCTTGTATCAGGGCATTTAAAACTGGTAAATGACCATCAGATATTAACCCTCTCAAGTTATATAATCCACTGAACAATTCCAACTGACTGCCATTGCTTTGTGGTTCCATGGAAGGCTTTGGCAATTTTTCGTCAGTCTGTACTGAAACTGATGTCACACCCACTGTTCCATCTCTTTGAACAACACTGGGTTCAAAATACATGAAATCCACATCACAACTTTCAGAATCTCTGCCAGCAGCTTGTCTGTTACCAGCAACACTACTGTTGCCAGATGTCTGTATTCTGGGTTCTGTTTTCCTCATAGTGTTTGAGTCACTATCAACTACGGATTTAGAGAAACAGTTATAGTAAAGTGGGGGTGGGCAAAATGTGTTTGTTATTACCAAATCTTCCTCACTTCTTCTTCTGTCATGAGAGCGGATGTGGGAGTTTACGTCCCTGGCATGGAGATAAGTTTGAACTTCGGCAGTTTGTTTTACACCTTGTGTCTGACTTGGTTTGACTGTTTGACCATCAGTCTCACTGTCAGCGATGTCTTCTGGAATATGTTCCTCTAAGAATGTTCCAGATTCAATTTCTGGCAATACTTTTTCTAAGGCGCCCTTTACAGCTTGCTCAATCTGTCCTCCTGTTTCAATCCTTTCCGTGCTTCTTTTTGCTAAAGCTTCTGTGGGAATATGAGGGATGAGCGACCCACCCAAACTCAATAACCTGAAACCAAGCTTTAACTTTGCTATGCACGACCCCATAAGATTATAAACATTAAAATCACCCTCATCTCTGTAAAAAGAAGGTACCGCAACACCTTTCTGATACACATCTTTGCTAATCTTGTCTATTGCTCTCTTTAGAGGAATCAAAGTGCTGCCAACAAGAACAGGTTTCCTTGGCCATAAATCCATCAACATGGCGTAGAGAGGCACCGTTTGAAGTTGCAACAACAAAGTGTCAATGCTTGCTTTGAATAAGCAGGATTTTCCTTTACGGAGCTGGAAATTTCCAAAGCGGTCTTTAAGATCTTGAAGCACTGATTCGTTGCCTTCTAAACGAAGTTTTTGCCGCATTTTTTCAGCGTCCAAAGGAGAAACATGGTGAATTATCATGGTAGGAAAATCCAGCAGTCGAAAGCACAATGCAGGCAGCTTGCAAGCCACTCGAAGATTTTCTACGCTTTCTACGTGAACTTCCAACGAAAACAATGTCTCGGCCATGGTCATGAGACTACAAGAACCCCGGCAATTCCTTAAATTCCTCTTATAACAGAAATATTGGAAAACGAATAATAAAAACTTGCCTTGTTTTGCCTTAATAACTTTTCGCGCCAAATATTCGTCCCCAATCCGCCTCTCGTTTTTACTCGTAAATAGTTGTTGTGTATGCAATAACAAAATTTCCCACTTCAATTGCATTTCTGTTCTGATCGTTCTATTGGTTATTAAAGAAAATGTATGAAGTGTAAGAGAAGCATAAGAAAATTTGTGAGAATAACTTCAAAATGTTAGTCTTACCATGGGTCTAATTACTCGTCAAAACACTGAGAGGACTTTTTGCGTCTCCTTACATGACAGAGTCATTTGAGCTCAAAAACAAAAATGGCGATTGTTTGGAGAAATATGTAAATTTCGATGAAAGATTTCGGTCGAAATTACTGCTTTGGAGCAAAGAAATGAGTCAGATTCCCAACTTGAAGAAAGAATGGTGATCATAACTTCGTAAGAAACATGTCTCTGTTGACAAGAGGGGCATATCTGTGTGATCAGGGTTGAGTTTCTTCTACATTGGCGGCGTTCTAATGAAAACCTGAAACAGCTGTTTTGTCGTTTTATTACTTCTTGATCATTGTGACAGCTGAAAGGAGAAAGAAGGAGAATGTCGAGGCTTCTCAAGTCGACACGGGCTGATCAATGTAAGTTCTAAGGATCTGCGCTCTTCAGCAGTCATGAGACTTAGACATTGTGCGGTATGAAAATATAATAATTATTTGAATGCTCATTTGGCCTTTTAATACTGTAAACAATCGCATATAAGAACATATGGATTAGGAAAATCAGGCTGAAAGTTGGCCATTAAGGCACCATGTATACAGTGTATATATAAGAGCTAATTCAGCTTGATAAATAAAACATGTTTTTATATAAACGAAATTGGATGCCAGAATAAGAAACCAATGTGGTACAGTAGGGGAGGGGCTGCTAGTCTGGAGAGCCAAGGGTGGAAAGGTGACTGGTTATTTCGCTTACACATCATTTTGCCAATGTCCCATTTTTGCAAACGTTTCAAGTCATTTTGCTCACAAAACAAAACCAGGGCAAAGCAAGTTTATATCACATTTTTTGGTTATGACATGAAAGGTACAATTCAGATGTTTACACCTTCAATTGGTGACAAAATTAGTTGATATACTTTGCCGTAAAGGGCCCTTCCCTTGTTTTACAGACTTTAAAAGTGTTAAATAAAGCTTTCTCTCCCCAATCTCCATGAAAATGTAGTGCTGCTCTTCAAGATACCTGTAGAAACAACCAACACCCCAACTTTGAATGGAGGGGTACAGTACGGGGAGGGATGTGGATTGTTTTGTTCTCTAAAGTTACCCTATTTGAGTATAATTTCTCAACAATTTTGGCGCTGATTGTTGCTCTTTAAGCCATTATCAGGCAGGAGAAGTTAGGGTGTAAAATATTTAAGGTATTGCTCAAGAGCTAAATTGTAAGCTTGAGCATTCACCCATCACATAATTTTCATTAAGCGTTAGTCTAATTAAAATCCCCTTTGCTCAACCATTCAGCCAGTCCAGGGTCTTTATAATAATAATAATAATAATAATAATAATAATAATAATAATAATAATAATAATAATAATAATAATAATAATAATAATAATAATAATAATAACGAATATTTATACAGGATAGCCCTTCAGTGCAAGAGCACTGTTATCAAAGGGGTCCTGTCATAGACCTACTAAACATTTCTCAGTTTCAACGTGCTACATGTGCTCGAGAAAATTGATTGTTCTTTAAGTAATTAAGATTTTCTTATTTTTGTGACATATCAATAATTTTATTGACACTGCATGTTAACTATTTTTTAAATCTGTGATAGTTAATGCCAAAGTACATGGTCTGAAGGAGATATTTAACCGACTGGACAGACGAACATATCCATTACCAACAGGAAACGATGTTGCCAACTACTTAAAATGGTTTCAGCATACATTGCAAAGGTATTTCAGTCTTCCGTTGTTAATATTGGGTGGAAATATGTATTTCTTGATGGGAGTGATCTATATGTTAAATATCATTACTAAAGATTTGTTTGGATTTAGTTCTTTGTGGTTGGACGGAAACATTTTCTTTAAATGTATTATTAGCTATTATAATACAGGTATATTTTAACAGGAAAGAGTCCATACTAAAAAAATGTTTATTCCAAAAATTATACAGTCAAACCATGCTTCAGGGACATCTGCTTAATACGAACACCTTATTATTACCGACAGTTTGCTTTGTCCCTTAGGAAGAAAGCCCTCACATTTTTTCTAAATTCAAGCTGCATAATACAGACACTTTCTATGGTACCCTCAGTTTCCATATCAATGGGGTTTGACAATAACTTTTGATAAACCTTTCAAAATATGGCAGATTCTAGTAGATTTACCATCAAATACATCATCAGTAATTATCTGATGCTTAACACTCATTGGACAACCCCGTTAGTCAGGAGTGGTCAGAAAGTTTAAAGTAGGCAGATTTCTGTTGAAACAGGTGGCTGACTTTGTCATCTTTTGCTAAAAAATCAGATGAGTAGCTCAGCAAAGTAGCTGGCCAAAAAGAGAAAGTAGGTGCAGCTTTTCATCTTTTTGCGGCAGTGTTTAACAACCTTGACAGCAAGGTTGTACCTTTTGTTACCTGATAGTTATTTTATGCTGCATATTTTGGGCAGGTGGGTGGTGGGGGGGGGGGGGGATAGGTACTTTTTATATTGACCTATACGGGGGGCCCCCCCCTGAAATGGGGTACCTTTTTCGGGTTTCAGATATAGGAAGGGGTGGGGGTTTCACTGTTTGTGGTATATAAAAGGGGAGGGAAGTGGTTTAAAAAACAGCAGGGAAGTAAGGGAAAGTTACTGGCCAAAAAGGGAAAGATGTGGAGGTTTTTTACTTTTTTGCGGGAGGTTTTAAAAACCTTGGAGAGAATGTTTTTCTTTTTGTGACCTGGTTGTGGTTTTATGGTTCTATTTTGGGGGGCGGGGGGGGGGGGGGGGGGGGGGGATAAGTACTCTGTATAATGACCTATACAGGGAGCCTCCACCTGAAATGGGGTACCTTTTTCAGGCTTCAGATATATGAAAGTGTAGGGATTTCACTAGTTGATGTATATAAAAGGGTAGGGAAATGTGTTATGTCAGTCTGTAAAAAGGCCCAAAGGGGCTCAAAGAAGCATTTTATGGCTCTGAAAAAGTTGGCAAAATGTTTTGGTTCATTTGATTTATTCATAAGAAAAAGACAGTGCATTTTCAGCAGTTAAAAGGGATGCAGTGTTCTAAACTAGGTACATGTGGTACAAGGGGTACCATTTGTCAATTAAAAGTATGAAACGGGTACCTTTTTTTTGTCAAATATGACAGCTGCTAATATCATTGTTATAATATTATTGTACTTCAATTTTAATCAAATGACTGTTATTTCACACTCTTAGTCAACGCAGCATTTTGTTTTAAATTTTAATGTTTTGTAGATGTACAACCCTCCAAATTACAACCATTTTGGTTGCCATGGTGCCTAAAATTTTAGAGCTGGCGACTTGATTGGTAGAAAATCGCGACTGAGCAGAAACTATAACTAGGAAGGTTGATATAATGTGTTGCATGTAAAGTAATAACTGGCATTTGTTCTTTATATTAGTTTGGTAAAAGAAACACGCCCAGTGTTAACAGAAGACAGACAGTCATTTGATCGGCAGCAATATCCTAGCATGGATTACACTGGATTGTATAAGGCTCTTGGAAAAATTGTTAATGTTGTTCCTGTTGTGGAGATTGGAATTGAAGGTACATAATAGAAAGGCAAAATGTACTCACATCTGTGTTTGTTGTTAATTATTGTAAACTTGTAGGAAATAACAGCTAGGCCTTTGTACATAATGCTTTTGTTTCTCCACTAACATGCTCCACCTTAATGGTCCGTTTTTCCCCAAAATACTTGGTCACCCCCAAAAAAGTCACTAAAATGCTTGATAATGCTCATCATAGCAAGCCCTTTCATTAATTTTAAATATTTTAAGGGGATTTAAGGCTAACAAAAGTGTGTAAGAGGTATGACAACAATGCATACAAATAAATAGGTTTAATACAGCAAAACATGGTCATCTCAGTGCATGGCTATATTAAGTCATCATTTCTGTTTAAAAAATGTTATAATTTTCATTTTCTTTTAGGAAAAAAACTAAGTTTTTGGAAAAATGCCACTAAAATGCTCGAATTATGCTTTATGCTTTTTGCCTAACTAAAATGCAAAAAAAAATGCTAACATAATGTACAAAGCAACACCTTACTATTTTTTCTTTTTTTGTCAGCATTTGCCGATAGTGTTTTGTCAATCATGGCTTCATTGGTCCCATTCTTGAAAAAGGAAGACCTCAATTCCATGCCTCTTGGCCTAGCAATGACATTATCCATATGGCCACAGTCAACACATAATAACATCATAAAACTGCTTGCTGGTTACATTCTTCCAGTTTTGCTAGGTAAGGCCATTGCTTGTATAATTGAGCAACAAATATATGTTGTGGTTTAAATTTTAATTCCCTTTGTTTTGTGGTATGGTAATGTATGATAATGAGTTTAAAACATTTTGGGAAATAAAATTTGAACCAAGGATAAAATTGAACCACAACATTATATAGAGTGTATGTGAAGTGCTTCACAAAATACCAAAGATTATGCTCTTAGTGTGGTCTTTTGTGTTTTTTATGCCTATTTGGGTGTTATCAGGCACTAGCAACTTGAAATTGCACAAAAACAAATTTTTTCTTATATTATGTTGAGGCCTTCTTAGAGAGGGGTACACTATACGTATGTCCCCAGTCTGAATTTCAAATGCAGTTGTTTAGCATATTAAGGAGTAGGGCATGTCGCTGTCGGTAGATTTCCATTGTACTTTTGATTTTCCTTATTTCTCTGGCAGTTTCAACCCATCTTCATGTTGTTTATCGCCATTTATTTGTCTTATGTAGCTGTTTCAAGGCCAGGTCACTTGTTGCAATTTATCCCTAACAGGCCTGGCCTCTATACTATGGTTAGGATCAAAGGTGTAATATCTGTATTTCTAGTTGACAGCAGCCATTATACAGCTGTAGATCATTATATTTACAGTGAATATAATTATGAGATTAGTTGAAGGGTGCATGACATCCTGCTGCCTCAAACAGTTTGGATGGTCTGCCCGTGATAAACCTTTGTCATTGCCTTAGTCTTTGCCCTTCTTTTACTGATCCTTATTTTACTTATTTGGTGTATAATCCACTTGCTTTGGGTGAAGCCTCCCATGCAGATGTTCATGGGGAAGAAATTCCTGACAAAGCCCCAAGAACATGGGTGGGAAGTCACTTGGGATGCCATAGGGTCATAAATTGAAAAATAAAAACTTCTCTGTAAATGATTATTTGGACCTTGAGCTTGCTTGATCAGACATATTTTTTATGCTCATAATTGCTTTAAATTGTTATCATCAATCATGGTAGGTGTCTTAAAACCAGATGAGAATGGACTGTCCTATGCATCTCTCTCCTGCCCCTCACTCATCATGTCCATATTGCAGTACTGCCCTGACTGTAAACAGCATGCACAGTTTGTGGAGACATTGATGCGCTACAAAAGTAATGTTTGCCTTGATATTCTTGCCGTGTTGGCTTATGGTCCTCAGCCTGTAATCAATTCTGCTGGACAGGTTCTACTCCATTACTATCCACTCAAGGATGTTGGTATGGTTGGTTATTATGAGACACCTTTTACAAATTATGCATGTAGATTCAAAGAAAAGCACGACTTCACGACTACAAGGACAAAATTTTTTTCAATACAAAGTAATGCGCACACGTGAATCGGTGTCATTTTGGCGGGAAAACGTGGTAACCACTGTCATTCTACTGAGGATGTTGTAGATATAGAAACAAGTTTAATACCAAATGTCAGAAGTTTTCATGCAATCTCGGGAGACACAAATAACAATGGTGAAATGAACAAATGCTGGTGGACAAACAAAGGGAGCTAATGAGCGATCTTTTGTTTACCGTCCACCAGCATGGCAGTGATGACGTAACGTGAAAACCACCTAAACATCCTTCAATAAAAATAACCGTGCTGACTAAGCTTTATTATACTTTTTTAAAACTTTCCGGGGTACATGTATATATTTTATTGAGAATACACATTCTCGTAGTCATTCTCGAATCTAAAGGTCTTAATTATCTCTTTTTTAAATTTCCATTTGTCTTAAGGTTCTAGCTGATATTACAGTAATTGTGTTTTAAAAAGAACGGTGATGGATCTGCCTAATGTTAGGCTTAAACTCTATTGAAGTGAAATATGGGACAAGAAAAAATCTTGAAACATAGGTTTTAGAAACCCCCTAATAATTTATACCAAACCCAATTTCTTTTCACACTCATATTCTCTAATTTTACCCACGATTTTTTGAACCAGTAATTTTCCTTTCCCTGTAGTAGGCTAAAATAATCAACAATTCACAATGTGTTTATTTTGGTCATCAGCATCATTCAGTATATTCATTGCTAATAAAATTCAGTGCTTGGAAATGGCCATAGAGAGTGATGAACATTTTATTCATACCACTATCACTGGCTATGTCAGTTCAGTGGTTTTGCAATTTTTAGAATCAATTTACCAATCTCTTATTGGACGGTTTAGTGTGTAGTATAGTGGGATATTTTTACTGGTCTTCTGTATTTTAACTGCCCTATGGGCTCGCCAAAAAACGGGGTGACTCGTAAAAATGTCCCACAATACTACACACTAAACGGTCCAGTAAGATATATTTATCCGACCTACTAGTATGGAGGTCTTCTGAAATCGAAGTCTCAGTTCAAACCGCAACTGAGAAATGACCTTCCTATAAAAAAAATATTTATATGAGGATGCATGGAGAACGTTTTTATGCCAGTTGAACTTCATACTCGCTCAAGCGTGACTTCGTAGACTATGCCTACAAGCGGCAGTAGATTAGATGATTGAAGCTAGCATTCCTCTGTAGCTCTGTAGTTAGACCTTTCTGTTTGCACTTTAAGGTGGAGCTGATGATTGGCAGTTTGTGTACGAGCCATGGCACCCCGCTAATTGCCAAAACGTTGAGTGCGCAGTTCCTCACAAAAACACGCCCACAAGTATCTGCTTAGATGCCTCATATGCCGCAGGACAGTGTTCCTCATCACCACCTGTGTTTATTTGTGAGAAATGCGCTGCGGTAGCTGCTCAAGATATTCCTGACAAATCACTGATCATGAAAATCATCCAGCCAATGGGAAAGATGCGCACAACATGTGAGACGAAGGAATGTAAAGGTCAAGGGAAACCCTGCAGTGTGATGTGCTTTTCTTATGAATGCGTCAAAGATAACAGGTGCTAATGTGGGAATTTCCCCCCCCCCTTACCAGTTTTCTCTCACGCCCTCGCCTCCCCCCTCCCCCAGTTTTCGTACTGGTCCACCAACTTTGACCCGTGAACTAAGAGTTGAAAAATTTGTGCTGACTTTAAATATATCAAGTGGAGAGGACACGCACTGTTGTCCCCCTACCCATCATGCAATGTGTGGGGGAGAAGGGGGTGGGAAGTGAACTTGCTGAAAGAAAGTGACAAAAAACTTTGGCTTGTCAGTGTTTACTGTTAGGTAGAAAATGATTTTCATGCTGAATTATATTTGCAACAAAATCGTAAACATGCACTTGACAAAATCCCCGAAATGTTTTTAAATTGTGAACAAAATTCCTACCAAGTGACGTTTTTAATTTACAAAAAGTTACTTTTTTCAATTTATCCAACTGATTTGGTAAATACCAAAACAACTATCCCCCTCAGAGTCTGTGAACAGCGCTAGATGTATACCTCGACGCTTCGCGTCTCGGTACATAGACCACTATCCACCTCTCTTTCGGGGGATAGTTGTATACTATTCTAACTAAATTATTTACAAAATTAAACGTTGAAACTGGTAATGTCAAGGAAGCCTATGTAGAAGCCGGGGACTTATACTCGAGGGGCTTCCTGGAACTATAGGGTAAACCACGTGAGTTAAGGGTACTAACACCATTTTTACTTTTTTTAAAATTTGTGTTGCAAATGACCTATCGGTTGCTTATCTCAACCGATATAAGTTTTTCCGGTAATATTTTTCAGGCTGAGAGCTTTGACCATGTGTCAGGAATGCCATATACGCTATCACACCGGTGAAGGTGGATATAACCATGTGACACAGAATTTGTTCCCAGACCCCTGGACTTTGGATGGGCCTGACCAAGCCTACCCCACAGAGGCGGTGATTCGTCTGTTAGGAGAAGCACAGCCAAATCAGAAGGCGAGGAATGATGCTATGGGGTGGGTTACGCTTTGACACACATGTAAATGTATTCAGTTTATTCGAAAAACTGTGAAAGGTTTGAACCCAGGGGTCATTGGATAAGTAGATTGAGCATGATCTTCCAGGTGGACGTAGTCCCGAATAGGACTGTTGTTGGCAGTGACGAAGAAGGTTCCAATATAAATAGATTCTTACACTTACGATGCCTTAACCCTACAACGAAGATCTTTCAAGAGCTTCCCACCTTCTTGGTGTCATTTTCAATGGCGCTGAAGTACTCAGTCAAGCAAGAGCGAAAAGACCATTGCACTTTCTTCATAGTCGCATACGCTTTAAGTCTTTCTAATGACAACCCGAATCAGCTGTATGCAAGTACTGTGTACCGTTTTTATAAAGTTGAGAAGCAAGTTTTTAATGAGAGGTTGAAAGTAACAACCCAGAAAACTTCAGCACGCGGTTAACAACGACGAAGGGAAGTAGATTATGTGTTAAACACATATTTTCTGAATAACAGCGTTACACGTTCTTGTGGAAGGAACGGGTGACATACGAGGTCTGCGTAACGGACCCCAAGATGACCTTTTTAAAAACCGGGCCCATGACGAATCCCTCCGAAGATCTGAGGAGGGGCTCCTTTGCGGCTCTGTTTTATGTATTGCGTTTCTTACTACGCAGGGAATCGACTTGATCTAAAAGCGGTTACCAATGTTCTTCGAAATTTCGAAACCAGCTTATTCTCATTGTATCCCCACGACAGCAATGAGCTCGTTAATCAAATAATTGTTATCCTTTTATAATCAGCCTAGTCTGATCAGCTTCTGTTCGTCTTTCATTTACCAGGCTAGTTCAAGGAAAACTTGAAGACGACGAGTATGAAGATGACGTGGACAACGACATTAACAACCGTCGCATGCTTAGCAGATTTGGAGTCTGGCTTCTGGTTGGTGTTTGCAGTGAGCCTGCGAGATGTGAATCGGCGGAGCGGTTGGGTCGATTAGTGTCTATGGTGCTGTCATGGATCGAGACAACCTCAACACTGAGACGAGACTATGTGGGAGAGTTGCTCAAACGGCTCACAAGTCAGTATGTTTGCCGCTGGTTGTTACAAGTTCGAGACAGCAAGTCAGAGTTGCTCTGCGCATGCCTAACACCTGATCCTCCGGCATATGTGAAGGTTGGAGGATGCTGGGATACCATGTCGAGCAAGGCCCGTCAGCACATGGAAGGACTTCACCGCCTATGTTGTTTGGTTCCCCATAATCTTGTCACACCTGAGGTAAGGAGAGGAACTTCGGTAAACTGCATTCTTTTGGACACTGCGTAAAAGTAAGTTGTATCGCGTGAGTTGATGGTATTTAAGTCCGGCTATTGACCTGACTGCTCAATTAAGTGGCGATGATATTGGTGGTCTGTCAGTTAGGCCGTGATGTTATTGGCTATGACGAAGATGTGTCGTAACCACAGACAGTCCAATGAGCCAATCGGTTTTCGAGGAGGAAAGCGCAAGGAGACAACGTGGTTTTGATTTGAAATCCGATTGGTGCAGCTAGAAAGTTGTACATGAGCTGTAGCCAATCACAGAACAATACTATTTGAAGCAAATTCGAATTAGTTTTGGCGCGAGCTCATATAGGATCCTGGTTTTGGTTTTTAAGATGAAAGTCAAATCACGGTCCTCAATTTTGTTGTTATTTTACGTTCTGCAGGTCTGGGATACAATTATGCCTCAGTGGATGGAAGCGATCAAAGCAGACGTTCCTCCGGATGACTTGGGAAGGTTTAAAGTCTTGTTAACGTAAGTTTGTTGAATTTTGGACCATAGGCTGTTCACAGTCCCAGTCCCAGTCCCTTTCAATCTTCCTCAAGATTGTTCATCTGTGCCTCATTTTGCATTTGCTGTGTTACTTATACTTTCTTTTACGTCGCCGCCGCCCGCACACCGCCCGCACACCTCCCGCACACCTCCCGCACACCTCCCGCACACCGCCGCTCGGTTAGCTCAGTTGGGAGAGCGCCGGTCTGCTGAGTGAGAGGTCGCGGGTTCAAACCCCGGCCGGACCAACACTCAGGGTCTTTAAATAACTGAGGAGAGAGTGCTGCCTTTGTAATATCATCTCCAAACGGTTAGACGTTCCGTAGTCTTCTCGGATAAGGACGATAAACCGGTGGCTCCGTCTTACAAGCCCTTGCACATGTATTAAATCTGTGGGATGTTAAAGAACCGACACACTCTTCGTAAAGAGTAGGGCACGTAATTCCCGGTGTCGTGGTCTATCTCACTTTGACACTCATGTTTGGGGGCATCATTACTCATTCCTTCATTACTTGTAAACTGCACCTTAAACAGTCTGGCAAAGTCTCCCAACCAGTGTTGTAAATTATCCCTGAAAAGCCCTGAGGGGAGTGGTTAATAAGATTTTTACAATTTACTGTTTTGAGCGGTTATTTTTATGTTCTACTCATACTCAATTCATTGTCTGAATTTTGATAAATTTCGTGACACAGCTCCTTTAGATACAACTGTATTTGCCTCATATGGTAAGGTGATGAAACTTTATGACATTTATAGACATCTTTTCTCTTTAAACCTTTTTCGATTAATTTTATACAGGAACCTTTTCGATCCTCTACTTTCTCCGCTCAAGATGCCCTCCGACACAACTTTAAGCTTCATACGAAGATCACTAGAGTCTTCTGTGCCTCGTCACCAAGTTGAGGCTCTCACTTGGCTTCAGGTAAGTAATCTGTTTATATTAATGTGACCCGGGACAAAACAAAGCTCTTAACCTCGAAAAAAGGGACATTTCTTTTCTCTTTCGCTTCCCTGAAAGAAAGTATTCCATGTTAAGGCGATTTTAATGTACAACAAGTTAGAGTCTAGACATCCAACTTTTTAAATCAACTTTCTCTTTACCACTGCTTAAATTGCGTCTTTACCTGGGATGATCTTCTTTGCATTATTTCTTCATTCCGCGGCTCCAATATATGAAATTAATATATTTTTATCATTTCAACGTCTAGGACTAATAGAACGAGGAAAATAAAATTTATAGCTGTCTTTTTTCAACCTTTTGTTTTTCGCAGATTTTATCTCAGCTTGATATCATTATCCGGCTGGATGTTCTTCTCAGCATGTTTATCAAAGTTGTGCAGAACTCGTCTGAATTCTCTGAAGGAGTCGCCACCATGTTCCCTTTTCCCATGTCTTCTGTGCCGTCACCGCTGTCCACAACTGCAGAAGGCTCAGTGATCCCAACGCCGGTCAGCGGTGCAATGTCTGCAGACCTTGGGGAGCTGAGTTCCAATCTGTCGTGCTTTATCATGGAACTTGATTTACTTGTAAAACAGGTAATTGCTCCAACTTTAATCGCAGAAAATTAATTTTGTCAATCGAGTTAAAGTAAACTCAAGTGATGCTTATAGGTGGTTAAAAACAAACAAAAAAAAAACTGCCACCCCCAAAAGTGGTCGCGGTCGTTACCAGCGGTTCCAACTATAGAGCGTTGACTGGCAAAATTCAGGTGTTTTGCAGCGGTGTTCCCTAATAGGATGTTTTCTCACTTGGAGAATCGACTGTGTATCGAATGATTTACTCACCCCAGCCTCTATAAACTATCCCCGTTATTTACGTCCGTCTTGCTATTACGGAAGACAATCTCTTTTGGTAGTCTCTGCGCCGCTTTCGATCGGTGTGTTTTCCTGTTGATTTACGTGTTTTAGATCCAAGTATGGGAATGCACAAAGCTTAAACGTTTGAGCCTGTGAACGAAATTTTGGCTTACGTTTGTGTGGTGCTGTTTGTTTTCAATATTTTCATAATGAATTTTGGGCCCTTTCCTCAGCATTGCGGCTGTTAAAGTTTTAATATGAGGGTTTGTTTAATGTCCATGTCAAAGCTTTCACATTTTGTATCAGAAATCGCACGTTTTCCTTCCTCTTCAAAATCCAGTTTTCAAATTTAATTCGTCCTAGAAAAAGTGTACGTAAGAATCATCATTTGCTTACGTTTTTATTGATTCATCATGTTCTTAATGACAGATAAAAATTCAGTTTATTCGCGAAAGACACGTCCCAACCAGCTCCGAAAAAGAGGACATCAAGAAGCTTCTGAAGTGCATGTTGGATATCTCTTGGGCCGGTAAACATGGCGACCACTCTACGATATGTGAGATGTGTAACATGACAAGTATTTGGTTTAAATTGGCGCACATGTTACTGGATCATGTATTCCCGGATGGTGTTACGTTAGCTGCTGCTGATGCGCGTGGTTCTGTGGTATCTGGAGGAGGTCTTGTCAGAACCAGTTCCAGCGGTAAAGCTGTTTCCAGTAGGAGTCTGTGTAAGTCTCTCCAAGGTGCTTTTCTGACGCACCAACACGGTGCAAAAACTTGCGTAATTTAGTCTTCAAATGTGCGCATTTATATCATTACACGTAGACTTTTAACAATTTTCGCACAAAGGTCAGACTTCAGGGCTTAACGGCCGGTCAAAGGACAAGTTCCGGTCGAAAAAAACCTCTGTCCGATTGAATCCTTGGGTGACCGGACATTTTGTCCTGTCGTTAAAGCCTCAATTGGAAAATTCAATTCAAATTTTAACAAAGGTTGGACATTATTAGCTTTCGTGAATAAAAAATAGGTAGGTGGAGGAAAAAACAATAAACAAACTGTTTCCGAGGGAAAATAGGTTTTATCGGACAACATGACCGGCGCTAACCTGGTAATTATTTCAAGCTCTGAGGCTGGTCTCAACACGACACAGCAATCAGTAGTAAACTGTTGTTTGTGTGTTTTGGATTCTCCTAGAACCGACAGATAGAAAAATACCAAGTTCAATGCTACGTCTCCTGTTTGCAAGTTGATTAACATTCTTGTTTAATCTCGAACCCGGGTTGTTGTTCCGTTTTTTAGCCTCAAACAAAAGCCAAGTCGAAACGATCGATGAAGAAGTGTTTAGAGAAAATCAGCAAGAAGACTTCTCAGATGTTACTGACAGTTGCCATGGTGACAATGACCCTGAACCCGAGAATGGTCCCAGTGAGGGGGATGCCCCGTCTGAGCTAAACGAAAATATCATGTCATTTGCTGCCATGCACACAATGACGGGAGCTATCGGCTCGTGGAGGAGTGGGACGAGTAGCGTTAGCTGGAGCGTGGTGTGTGACAATTTCCCACAACTGCATCTGTTGCTCGGGTTTCTGAAGGTACGAACCTGTGTGAATGAACCACAGGAAGCCCACGTGTAGTTAACTAGTTTCACTAAATTCACTTCCATAATCACTTAAGGAGGAGACACAAGTCTGAGGTGTGACCAATCAAATAAATTCATGAACCTTTGCAGCGGTGCTTTCTCGTGGTTGTATTTATCATGCTGTACCAACGGGTTTTAACTTTTGAAATGTATGACGTGGCCGTGAAACTAAAACCTCTTCAGCAGCACTTCACTTTGGTACTACAGTTGGGTACTAGCCTGTGTACAGCAGCCCGCTCCCCTCTCTCCGCCATTTTGTTTGAGGGGAGGGGCGACTATACTGTACACAGGCTAGTACCCAGCTGTAGTACCATAGAGAAGTCCTGCTGAAGAGGTTTTAGTTTCATGGCAACGCAATACATTTCAAAAGTTAAAACCCGTTGGTACAGCATGATGAATAAAAACTACGAGAAAGCACCGCTCGCTCCAAATGTTCATGAATTTATTTGATTGGTCACACCTCAGACTTGTATTCTTATTATGCTGTATAAAATAGTGCGACCATTCAAACGAAGCCTTTTTAGCAGCACTGCTTATATACATGGTGCTATTTATGCTGTATCCACAATTTTTGCGTCTGTGAATGAAATTCTACGTTGCGGACATTAAAATGAAACCTCTGTTGCAGTTTTTTTTTCACACGATGTCATTTCTGAATTCTAAGTATTTCACACATTGAATTTTAGAGTTAACATGCTTTTGTTTTTGTTTTATCTGTAGGAGCTGCCTCGTCAAGAGGATCATAATGTACAGCTGAGTATCCTGAGTTGTTTAAAGGTTCTGGTCCTTCAAGGTGACTACCTGCGAATCGCTATGGATGCTGACGGAGACTTCTTGGCTTATCTGCAAGAGATCTTCTTCATTCCTAAGTAAGATATTGTTGAATCAGAAAACCAAATTTTGCGATCGTTGACTTCCGCTTGTCATTAGGGAGCTTAAGCAACGACGACGGCGACGTCAACGAGAACGGCAAAAAAGCAATAGGTTTAGATTGGCAAAACAACCACTTTGCAATAAATATCATAACAGACAAAGTGATTACTCTGATTACTATAGCTCTATTGGCTACTCTAGAAACTAGGCAGAGTAAACTTTCGGAAAGACTTCTGGAACTGTTGCTGGGGACTGGGAATAAATTGGCCAATAGCTGACCGACACGTCCCGATTTCACGATCCCAGAAATCTTTGCGAAAGTCAACTCGGGCCAGTCTCTTTATCGTTTCTAAAGAGGCGAATTCGGCTCACTGAAGTAATGAGTCCGTCCATCTTTTTTTCTTTTCAGCATCTGGGACCTTGTACAAGCCGAGCACTCGGAGATGTCACAGCTTTGTGTCCAGATATTACTCCACTGCATCTGTCTCCCTTATGGCGCTGAGAAACTCTGCGATGAAGTAGAAAATGCTTTCTCAGATGATGACTGGCGAGAACGCTCATCCGCTGTGGAAAAAGTCGCGGTCATTGCACGCTGTCTGGAAAAAGAAAACATCAAGTCCAATAGCCTTGTTATGTCCGCCCTGGCGCACTGCTTTACGTATTTAGTTGGAGCTGTGGAAGATGTTTGCACACCGGTACATCTTAGGTAAATTCCAGTGAATAACATAGCTGGTGCTTTTAAAAAAATTACTGTTTAGCTTTCCTATCTCTTTTTGTGCGCACTGACTTTCAACGTCTGTCTACGTCCGTCCGTCCGCCCGTCCGTAAAGGTATTTCTATTGTCCTCGTAACGTCTTATTCAGAGCCGAAGGTACTTCGTTCGATAGCCCGTATCGCCCTTTTTGTTCCCGGCGAATTTAATAGATTTGCTTCTTTTTTCTTTTTTTAAGCCCAACAATTTAATATCATGAAAGTACATTAATCATTTTTTAAAAGAAATAAATGTGTAAGAAGTTATTAAGTTACAGTCGAGATCCCCGTTCGATCGATACTCGATAGCGCCTTTTCTTTCGAGTACTTTGCCAACCTTGTTGTTTTTTTTTTTCGCTTAAAAAAGCAAGGTATATGAGTGAAACAACTATTAAATAATTTCAATTTGCTCGTTTGAATTAGTTTTCCTCGTAGCACACAGCTTTAACGTTTAACCTCAGGAGCAGAGATATTGGAATCTATACCCGGTAACGCCCATATTTTCTTCGAAAAATTTTATACCTTATTTTTCCTTCTTGTTTTCTTTTTTATGGTTACTGGAGTACTGACTATTCATGGCCAGTAAGCACATGTCTTCTCAAGGGATTATTATTTTTCGATTTAAATGACATGGCTTATATTTTGGTGGATCGGTGATTGACGTGGAATTTTCGGTTTATCGACGGTCTCGATGGGGTTAGCTAAACAACAATTTAAGGTGTAGGGTGTAAAAAAATAAAAACTTTTAATCGCTAGTCGTAAAAACGTTCGGGGTCACTTAAGGTAATTCCCTTGAGAAGGATGTACTGTTTTTTATTTTTTCAAACTTGGCACAATTGGTTATACTTATTTCAGAGCCGTCTCCATGTTAGACACTATCAAAGCATCCTCTCTCAAGGTCCTTTACAAGTGCATCGAGCACCAGTACGATGCAGTTCCTAAAGATCGTCTCTTGTTGATTCACACCTGCCGGATATTGCACCGAATACTGCCTCACCATACCCCCCTTTGTGGCAAGTTTTTCATCAGACGCTTCAAGCATTTGCTAATTGAAAACGCGGATTTCGTGTCACTCGGAAGTCCGAGCAAAGGACGCACTTCGTCTGGTTTAGCTGCCAATGAGACGGATACCGGAAGTGAATATGCGAGGAAAATTGGTTTGTAACCACGTGTCTTATTAACAGTTAGCAGTTTGCTTTATTGTATTAATTAAGAAATAACAAAATAACCATTTTGTCGTCGTGGAAATCACTTCAGGAATAATGTTATGTGAACTAAACAAATTATAAGCTCATCCAGCGCCCAATTTATCACTTCCAGCACATTTATGCTCGAGATTTGTAAAGAATAACAGCCCTTCAGTCCTCAAATGGTTTAGAATTCTAGCTCTGTCATGCAGACTTTTTCTCTTCGTTATGATATACATTTTAGAAATAAAACTAAAACTGTTGAATTCTCTTTTTTGTCACTGGTACTCTCTAAATAGGCCACTTCCGAGTCTAACAACCCTCACTTTCAAAATGAGGCCAAGTACACAACCTTTCATGTGAAAATGACTTTTATTTGCATGTGATTTCCATATCAAAGGCTGAGCCCTTAACCTCGTTTTGATACAGAAGCGCGGGGGAACTCGCAAATCACCTATTATTTGTAGTTACGTGTTTTCTTTTATGTTGTTTAGCCCCAATGCTCCAATCGCAGCCTAGTACCAGGTCCCTGACAGCTCGTTCCAGCCTTGCGCAGCAGCCTCGTAAGACATCTTCTTCGTTCCGTTGTGGTTATTCATTCCGTTTTCCTGGAGAGAGGGTCACGTACAATCGACAAGTGTCATCTAATTCTGAAGGTAATCTTGAATACTTACATCGCTGTCCTCTAAACAAAGAGATCTCTTCTGATCATAATAAGAGATGAATCTGAGAAACATAACCATGTTCTTGCTCCAATATAAGAAAAACCAACTAGATATTTCTTCACCATGTTTTTAGGTAGTTGCTTTTTTAACTCTTGCCTGCAATCTTATCATGTGCCCATTTTATTTCCTGGCTTTCCAAAATGGAAGGAGCTGAACACAAAAAAATGCGCGCAAAGGATGTACTAAGGATTGTTACGTTATTGTTATTGTAATTTGTTTTCCCACGGAACTCTAAGGAGTTCTAAGAACTCGTTGAAACGTGCTCGTGCGTTCCAGATCAAAATGGATTTTGGAAGTATTGGTTTCTAGGGAGAGGGGAGCACCGGGCTAACGGGAGAAAAACCTCTTGCGACAAGGGAGAGAACCAACAACAAATAGACGTTATTGACGATACCTACCGTCTTTGCACTCGCCTTAGGATTGTTGGGATAAAAGCAATGTCACGTGGTATTTCAGGGGGGCAAACAAGTGATAAAATTTGCTAATACGAGTATTTATGGTCGAGTTTGTTGATCCACTCAAAACGAGACGACGATTTAACAGTCTTGCAAAATGTGCAGTTCGAGTTTCGACAAGTTTTACGTCATTATTACTTGCTGTCACTATCACTTGCCATATTGGTGGGAGGCTAGTACTCGTGCCACTGCTCCACCTTGCTCTCCAGGATACGCGCAAAGGATAGGAACACGTGTATGAAACCTCACCTACCTGCTAAATTCCAATTCCAATCGAAACTTTAAACGACTGATCATTTCAGGTAAAAAGTCATCAACCGGTGGACGCCTACGGCGTACAGGAGGATTCACTAACCAGGCGAGCTCCGTCGACATCTCGGACCGTATGTTCCTAGGTGGTCGCATCCAGTCTAACCTACCTACTGTCCAGGAGGAAGAGCACGAAAATAGCCGGCAGTCTGTTGCCTCCACCGACTCTTCCTTTAGCCAGCTGCTGGGTGGAGTGCAGCAGGAGGGGGGCAGCCTAGAGGCAGAAGCCACTCATCAGCTGGTGACGCTGGTCATGGACTTCCTCAGCTACCCAGGAGCGGAGAAAGGAGCGGAAAATTCGAGTTTTGTGAAGACGGAGAGTTATGAAGTGGTGCAAATGAGTCATTACCTTGGTGTTCTCATGGGGTATGACATCAAGGTCGGAGAATTTACTGGAAATCCTCGTAGATTAAGGTAAAAAATCTTGAATGTCATGCTGTCATGCTTACCAACTTTGTTCAGGGACTTACGCTAGATTTGTTGTTCGTATGTACAAAGATTTATATCTGCGATTATTGCGAGGTTTTATGTGTGCATTGTACATTTTCTTGAAACTTAGAAGCTGAGAATGTATCAAAGTAATTTAGAACCTCCTACGCAGACTTTCTCAGGGCTTGTGTCATGAACGTACATGCGAGTAGAACGCGTTACCGTACTAACCATGGCGTGACGAAGCGTGATGCGTGACAAAGACCTTAGACGGTCAGAAAAGTAGGCCAAGCAATTTAACTTTATTTTTCGTTTGCAAAAAGCTGTGCGCACGTATCGAAACAATTAAAGAAATAAGGAAAAAATTCCAGTTCATGTTATTAAAGGAAACCAACCTTTCTTCACTCACAGGTTGTTCCCAGTCTTCCATGCGTACATGGCCGGGATTGTACAAGTCCTTGATCAGAATCAGGAGTGGGGAAATGAACTGCTCAATCTCACTCTTCAACTACTGCTGTTCTGCGCGGCTCCTAAGCCACACAAACGAACGCAGACGCCCGAGTTCTCTTTGATTTGTATACCGCCATTTATGAGGCAGACCTGGCTCATGGCTCTACTTATTATACTTTACAAGGTAATGAGGATAAGTTTCATCTTCGCTTTAAAAAACCTCCCGGTAATGTTGTAGATCCGAAAGTTGCAAAAGGTCTATCAATGTGAACGGTCGTCGCCATGCTAGCGCCATATAGGTACCCGCCTTGTAATAGAACTAGACCCAGTTGTTCGAAGGGCGATTAGCGTTAACCCAGGGTTAAATTTTAACTCCGGTTTCTCTTTCTTTTGTTCAAAAGCATTTTCCCGAATAATTTTCTTCTTTTTAGAGCATTCAGTCATCAAATTGTAGGCAAAAAGAGTAAAACTGAATTTTCTTCAGTTTAAGCTTTAATATCTGAAATAAAATTTCGCACTAACCCTGGGTTAACTTAACCCTGCTTTGAACAATGCGGCCCTGAGAAGTTTATCTCAGCAGTCGTTCTCGCAAAAGTCGTTGAAGAGTTGTGTCCATCAAATCGCTGCCATCGCTAAACCTGTTTTCACAAGGTAGGCAGGCGAAACGATTTTACTTTCAAAGTACCTCCTGATTCACTGAAGTAGTTGGTGGATTGGTAGAGGGGGGCGGGGATGCAAACCTCTTAAACCTTCCCATTACATCTCGGCTGCCTCTTCTGCGTCCTTTTATCGTTTTTAAAATCACTTTAGACTCTAATTATATTTTTCTCTACTTTATTTAGTTTTAAGACCATACGCTGAATATTCATTATTGTTGAAATAGTTTACATTTATTTAAGCAGTGTTCGCCGAGTTCAGTATTGGCAAAGCTTTTAAATAGTTCTTTGATTTTTTGATTATTGTTCCAAATTTATTTCCTTCCAGTATCCTTTCCACGCTGATACTCATAAACGAAACACAAAGAACCTAATACTCGTGGTGCTGAACACGCTGGAGGCCCAGGATCACGTCTGCAAGGGGCCCAAAGAGAACTTTCCAAAGAGGGCGAGCGTGGCATCTATTTTTGGGGAATCTTTTGCTGTTGGAACAGGAGATACTGCAGTGGGTCCAGGTATCAGATCAACTTTTCAAAGCTTATTTTTCTAGGGTATACACTTCGCGAAGAGATCATCTGACCCCATGAGGTCTTTGTTAAGTCTAGTGACAGGGTCTAAGTTCATGCAGCACCTAGCCTATTACTGGAAATGGGTATGTTGTGAAAACATCCTGTCTTGTAAGGGTGTTACCGTCCTTATTTGCCCAGGGATGAGTGGCCAGTTTCCTTCTTGGCGGTGGAACTTCGGAAACGGGAGGGAAGGTGACACGACAACTTCCTAAAAAATGATGGACTGGAGATGGGCGACTAAGATAATCAGTGTTAAGTCAAATCGTGAGTGTTTGCTCACTGAACGTTCAATTAATTTGTCATTTCTTCGAATGTGCAGATCTATAAGCACTTTCATAGCCTGATGGTAATTTTCCATTTTCTTGAAGTTCAATTTACTGTGGAAAGCCCAGGACTTTCTCTCTGTCAATGTAGTGACGAAAATTCAAAATGATTGAGTTAAACCACTTTTAACTCAATCAGCGGTAATTTTTATTTTTACCGCGGCAGGATTAGCTCAATTGGTAGAGCAATTAAGTGATAAGCGGGAGGTCGTGTGTGTTCGATTCCCGGGGCCGGACCAATACTCAGGGTCTTAAAATAACTAAGAAATGAAGGTACCTCCTTTGCCCTGCAAGCGGCTAAACCTTCGCATGGCTCGGATGACCAAAATGGCGGAACCATCTCCAGTTGAAGACGTAAAAATGCTGTCCCCAATTAGCACTTTCGTGCTAAATATATTGACATTGTTTCATTTTGATAACGCTTTCGTTGGCCTACTAATTATCTGGTTGGCTGATTGATCAATCAATCATTTTCTTCCCCTTATTTAGAAACGCCAGGCAGTCCCACTCTTCGTCGTTCTACCACAGACAGACAGTTGTCTTTAACAACCGCTAACAAATTACGTGAAGAAGACGACAAAACCAGACGATTGCCGGAGCGACAAATTTCGTCTCCTTCTTCGTTTGGTAGCATTAGCAAAGCGAAAGAGAGAATAGAAGATGAGAAAGAAAAAGACGAAAAACTGTTGGAGGGGAACCAAGATGTGAAGTTGTTCTCCGAGACTCCTTTTGCTAATGCCGGTGGCGTCAACTCATCAGAAAGACTCCTGCCTTCCAGCACCCCCATCCAGGACCTCCCGGCCTTTGCGCGAAGAGTGCTTCCTAGTACTAGCAGTGAGGAAGAAAAGGGCTTGGAGTCTAAGATCGGCTTCGACGGACAGCCTGGGACCGAGAACAAAGGACGAAAAGGTACGGGGAACTTGAGACCAAGCTGTAGTGTGAAATTAATGGTCTTGAAGTCATTGTCATGTCCGTATAAAAGAAATTTTTGGCTTCAGAATCTTGCATTGACAAATCTTGAGCGATTAAATGACTTTTAAGTTGTTGAAATTTCTTCGGTGAACGCAATAAAAGAATGGCAGATTTTTAAATTTAAAAGTTTGAATATGGCCGTTTTGTTCGTAGTTAACGGATTAGTTTTCACGTGTAATAATTGAAGATGATCATCTTAATTTAAGATAATTTTTAAAACAATTTCAGATACACTAATACTAATTAAACCTGATACATAACGTCCATTAAACTACTATTTGACGCATCCTTTAAAGGTTTTACGGTGCTGAAAGTTCTAATGTTTTAAATGTTGTTTCAGCTCGTCCTTTGTCATGGAGAATACGAAGGACTCGCAATGAACGTCCCTTTCTCGGCGGCTTTTCATTGCGTTTAAAGAGACCGCCGCTGTTAACTGGTTAGTAAACAATGCTTCGTTTCCAGGCGGCCATAAAGAGAGGGACGCCATGGGAACGACGCGAAGCGCGCCCAGTTCCACCGCGTGCAAACGTCTGAGGCGTTTCTCTTTTTATTCAGTTTGATTCCTTGACTATTTAGCGGAAACTTGCCTTGGTCAGGATTTATGAAGAGTTAGTTCACTTACCTGTCCTTACATTGTTCTAATAGTAATGAGCTTCTTTTCGTTGTAAATGCTTCGCGCACGAGTAGAATTATGATCATGGCAATTCAATTATGGCGCCGACATTAACCTCAGTTAATCAGTTTTCAGACGCTTAGAACATTTTTTGTCAACGTTCAAATATATTAAGCTTTGACAAGCGAAAGAAAGAATAAAAGCTAAGCAGAGCTGACGTCGCAGAAACCGAATTGTAGCACGTAATAAAATCTGCGACAATCGTAAGTCAGTAGTAGGTTTGATTCACAGGATGCAACGGGTGTCGTAGGCCTATAGTAAGTCCATAGCGTGCGACAAAGTTGAAAGGTATAAATCGGCCTTTCAACTCAGCTGGAATAGTAACGGTCACCTGGAGACGAAGCTGATGAAAACCTCTTAACTTTGTAATCTACATTTAAACATGTAAACTTAAAGATTTAAAATTCTGCGGGAATGATTAACAATAAAGTCACCTTAAACTTCTTAAATCTTAAGGTGCAATTTTTTTCACCTTTTTACACCATAAACGAGCCATTGTTAAAAGATCTAACCCTGTGTTAAAACATAACGGTGAGCTTGTGATCAGTTCAATTAAAAGAAAAATCGGTCTTTGGTATTCCTTGGTGGTACCTTCTATTATATTTTTCTCCTTTGTTATCTAGTCTCAGTAGACTCGACCACCAGCCACGACACACGAGAAATAGACATCAGTAGATCGGGAAGCATAGAAGGTTCACTTTCTGTCAATGAATTCAGAAGGGGTTCCAAGCCTCGGCTGGCACCGGGGCTCTCCACACGGTCTTTTGACAAGACCCTTGACAGTAACGCGGAAAAGGAGCCTTTTGATAAGGACCTTGATCTTGATTGGTGCCCAGAGTGTGGTACCTCGCTCGAGCAGTTTGATGAGGAGACTCTTAATTTGTGCATCGTGGTTCTGTCTACATTTGTCCATCAAAGTCCTTCCATGGCCATGCCATTTCTACTTCGAATGCTGGAAAGCGTCGCCAGGTACGTCTGTGGGTAATTTCTTTGCAAAACTGTGCAGTTTAAAGCTGAAACTTCCCAAATTATATACACTTTTCTAAAATAGTTTCTCAGATGCCTTAGAAGATAGTAACAGTACCTGAACCACACCAAACAAAGCTAGAAGTCAAGGAATTTCCGCCCAAACATGCGTGACTTACATGACAAAATTGAAGCTTTGAAAGGACTTATAAACTTTTAAAATTGCAATGAGAGAGCAATAACCTTTCGGATATTAGTTACTGGGGTGTGCAATAAAGGACTGGATAAAGGCGGGCCTAAGTCATTTTCTGTTGTCAAGAACAGCTAGATTTTCCTGCTTGGAAAGGGTCCTTGCAAGTTGTTCTTACTAAGAAAAGCCCTGAAACCTTCGTTGGGGATGTTGGGAGTTGTCTTGTAGAATGTAACTGATGACAGCAGGGCTGTCATTAAGAGGCGGGGGCCGGGTTTGTTCCCGGCTACTATAAAGGTGTTCCCCGGCTACTTTCATTGGAAAATAGAAGAAAAATAGAACCAAAAGAAATCCCTAGCTGTCTGATTTACCTCCTACTTGTTGTATTTACCTGGCAACTTGAAATCTTGGTGACATGCCCGACTGGCGTAATGCTAAATTAACCTTGAGAATTTTACCTTACATTTACCTGTTAGCCGCAGGCAAGAAAACAGTGTGATTGGCTGATAAAACGTCTGGAATAATCTGTATTTATAAATGTGAAACTTAGAAAATAAACAATAAATAAATTTCCTAGAAAAAAAAGATGATATTTAGAAAGGTCCAAATCAAGTGGACATCACTAGTAATTCACTTAAGTTATATTTATGATGGGGTAGAAACAAGCAATAATGTATATTCAGCCCTTTGGGCATCAATATTCTAACCCTACATTGCTTTATTCCATATCGTAGGAAATGTGTACATCCGCTGTTTTCCTGGCAGGAGAAGAGGTAAGCAGTGGCTACAGATTAAGACTGTACTCAGTTTTTCTGATGTTGCGTATTCCAATCCACCTGAAGAGCCGAAGGAAAAAAATCCTTAGCTCGGAAGCGCATGACTCTGTAGTTTATGGCTGACCTAGAAATTTGCCCGAGGTACTCACAGTTTTCCAAATCCACCCAATCCCATGTTCCCGATCGTTTTCTCCTTGGCCACTTGATAAACGAGCCCCAATTTCCACTTAAAAATCCTCCAGACTGACTTCCTTGAATTCTGGTTGTATTTGATTGAACAACTGCGTCGCTAAGTGGAGGTGCTTGCCTGGAATGTCCAGGGGCTTCCACTTTTGGCAAAGACAGACAGACAGACAGACAGAGTTACGCCTTTATGGGTGTTAAAGCCGCCCCTTCTAGCCATAAGTCCCCAGGCCAATGGAAC